TACTAGCCAACTGTCCAAATTTACAAACCAAATTAGTAGTCTGAGGCAACAAGCCTCACAACAAATTTCAGTCACAGATAAAAGCACACAAAGTGAGATCATAATACCATCAGTAGACAAAGGCACCCAGACAGATCATCCTGTGACCAGAGATAAAATCACCCAGTGGGAAAACAATGAACTACCCACTAATACTGCCAACAAGGGTACACAAGCTCTAGACACAATGACTAGAAACAATAGCACTCAGTGGGAGAACAACCTGCTCCCATCTCCTACTGCCTGCATAGATACACTGATAACATCAGGAGTTACCACAGAGACAGTGCAACACCCTACAATTACTGCAAACAAAGTATCAGCTCTGAACACTGAAACACCAACACCTGATACTAAAGTGATAACATCAGCAGTTGCTATGGACTCACCTGAAAGCACTGTGACTGATGCAGGCCCTACTGTCAACCAATCACCTGCAAGCAGAGATGATGGTATAGGAACTAGCACAGGTACCAATAACCCCGACCAGCCAGAGACACCCTATGAAAATATCGTGATTTCAGGCTCAATTGGAAAAGGTCTTCTACCCACTGGTCTCTTCCCTCGAACAAGAAGCAAATGTTTTGCTCTCAGGGGAAAAAAAGTAAAGGATGCCAAAAAGCTGCTATCAGAAAACAACTTTGGAAAACCAAAAACTTTCAGTATCATAATTGGATCAAACAACATTAGTGAGGGTCAGAATCCACAGAGCGTAGCGGAGGAAACTATTGACCTTGTTAATACCATTGAACAAACCTACCCCGAAACCCAAATTATTGTGAGCAACATTCTACCCCGGTGGGGAAATCACAATTTTAACAGAGCAGCAATGCAAACTAACAAACAAATGTATGATTTCTGTAACTCACGTGGCAACATTCATTACATGAACAATGAAAATATCACAGGCCGGAGAGATCTTTTCCAGTGGGACGGAATCCATCTCACTTCCCATGGGACCAGCGCACTGGCCCGTAATATCAAGGAGGCCTCAGGACAGATGACCCAATCCAAGGCAACACCCACCCGCAACCATAGACCCAACCCCCACGTCAACTATCGCTACCACAATCATGGAAACCAAAGCCAGTGGAAAAAACAGTGGAACCCACGCAGTGAAAGAAACAGCTCCATCCAGTCAGAACTTAAACTGCTAAGAGATTGTTTGAGCAAACTGGAAAATAAAATCGGATAACTAACAATGAAGGCATTATATATGTACTTCTTTTCTCTCATACAAAGAACAATGCTCAGCGTCATATTATATAAAGGATATTGTTTTAAATAATAGATTCTTTCTGTGCACAACAAGCCAAGTAACAACCACAGTAAGTGCCAAATTCATATCTGAAATGTCAAAAAAATGTAAGTATCAATTTCCTTTTTCTTATAAATACACAAGCAATAATAATATGATCTTAGTTACTCAAATATTCTAATTCGAAAGGTACACCTATTGGCATTAATCACTACATAGTAAGTAGTAAGTTCCTATAACTTTTGTTATTAAAACAAACAAATTTTTTGCATGCATTTGATCTTTATACACTAAGTACTGCTTGCCCAACACAGGGTACACAGTTTACAACCCAAAACATAGGTCATAAGGTTAATGTACCAAGTGATTACAATTAAAATGACTGAAGAAGAAATGTTAACTGATCATAAGGTAAAATTAAATTGTTACTACATAATTTATTCATATTATTCTCATATAAGTTGCAAGTTGTTATTAATCAAGCCTTAGAGCATTACTGAAAATGAGACCATTAGCTGTCCGAGGATAGGTGTTTAAGCACACATAGTTACATAACATGTCTTCTGCTTCTATCATGAATGATATGCTTCGCTTAGGTATGCGTAATGTTAGAGGTCTTGCTAACAAGCTTAATGATGATAATTTTATTGCTATGATAGAAAGCTATGATATTTTCATATGTGTTGAAACCTTTTCAACAGAAAGATCAAGAGTTGTTCTGCCAACTGGCACACATGCCCATTTTCTTAAAGTTAGAAAAAAAAGAAAAGTTCGAGGTAGACCCTCTGGGGGAATTGTTATATACTACAAAAAAGAGTTTCGTGAGGCAATCAAGATGCAAAATAGTAAGAGCGAGAATCTCTTGTGGCTTAGACTGTCAGGCACATACTTTGGATTACAAAAAGATCTATTTGTGTGTGCAGTTTACATAAAACCAGGCAACACTGCAACTGATGAGGCCACTTTTGATATCCTAGAAGATGAAATTGCACACTATCAGGCACTAGGCTCAGTCTGTCTACTAGGTGACTTTAATGCAAGGACTGGGACTTTGTCAGACTTAGTCAAAGATGATAGAATGTTTGGACCGGTGCCTGACAGTTTGGCCAATAGCACACTTAAACGACCTAGAAACAATTTAGATAGTGTGGTAAACCCCCAGGGAAGAAGTCTACTAGAACTGTGTAAAAGCAGTAGTTTAATCATCCTAAATGGTAGAACACAAGGCAACTCCTTAGGATATTTTACCTGCTTTAACAAATTGGGATGTAGTGCGGTAGACTATGCCATTGTTAGTGACAGGCTACTCAGTNCGAGTCCACTCGATTTCAGGGGTGACAGGTGGGACGAGTCCATTTGATTTTAGGGGTCACAGGTGGGGCGAGTCCACTTGATTTGAGGGGTCACACAAGTGGGGCGAGTCTATTTCATTAAATCAAAGGATGAATTTATTTTAATTATGATTTTAATGAGACATTTTCAAACATGTCAGAATATGCAGAACTATTTTTTTTTAGTGGAGGAGCAAATTTCAACTGTTGTCATTTCAAAAGTGTCAGGATATCTTATATTTCTGTTTTAATTTAAAATTAAAGTATTCGTCTGAATAGAAGGTCGTGATATTTGAATCGATTTTCTGTAGCAAACCATAACCCTTAAAATATGGACCTATATTAAATTAAGAAAATTATATCCGGGAGGACGAACTAATTTATTCCAATAGATATAAAAAACCGTCTCACTATAGAATAAAATGTAGGGCAGATTTTTCAATAAAGCAAGATCGTAAATTCACACAAATTGTATTTATTAATGTGGGCTGTTGGAAATGCTGTAGATGTATTCTTAAAATGCTCTCAATTATTAACAAACCTTTTAATCCTTTTGATTTACGACATTTTCTGTTACTGTTGAAACCATCAATCCCAAACACAATGCATACAGATCAGTTTTAGCACATTTAATTTGAAAGTGCTCAGACAATAATATCTTTATAATTTTACCCCTAACCCTCTATTATTATTAATATATTTATCATCATTTCATATCGAAGTGAAAAAGAAAACACGGAATGACAAACGTATTTATTCAATTTTAAAACAAAAGATGCATGGATGTGCGTTGGGTTCCAGAGCGTGAATGACAGGCTCGGTTGCTAGCAGCCGGGTGTCGTGCAGTTCTCAGTATCTCAGTGGACTTCTGAAATGAGAAGGTAATGTTAACAATATCTGACTATACGGGCAGGCTTGGAAGATACGACCAATGCAATTTACATCTCAGAGAAGAGGGCACTTGAAATGATGTGAGTGTTTACCGACTTGTCCATAGTTCAGGCTCAGTTAGCACCCCGAATCAATCGATTCTATGTTGCCTAACGCCAAAATTAAGACCTGAAGTTAGTAATAATGATATTTCAGATATCTTGCTTTGAAAAAATAAATATTGAAAACACTCCTCTAATTTGTGGAGGTTATCACTACAGACGTTTATTTATTTTACCTACTATATAAAGTTGTAATATCTAAAATCGCTTTGCATCACGCGTTTGGGAACCATATTTCGCTTTAGTACAAATCATTTTCCCGTGTTTCAACACTGCTTACAAGCATTTTACAGGTACATGTGTAATAAAATAAACAAACCTACAAAACTGATTAAAAAATTTTAAACTATTGTGATTGTCTTAAAAGGAGACGTTTGAATTTTTGATAAACTTTGACTATAAAATTGATGTACACGTTGATGGGGCACGCTTGTCTTTGGATCAAAAGTTCGATACTGTGACAAGTACGGTACTATCGTCTAAATATGTCAGTGATCTTTGTGGTAATATGCCCATTTACTAATTTGCTAAATAGTATTTTGAGTGACATTACAGAAACGACAGGCAAAATACAACAAAGAGTAGTAACATACCAGTAAATACAATTCGCAAATTTCTTTGCATTTTTCTGCTCTCTTTCTATCAACTGACATACGTTACTGAAGAAAAAGTGCTACTTACGAAACATGCATTTGCTTCTACGCCTCATACGACTGCGTTGCGACTGCACCACACGTTGAACATTGCGTCTTCATCTAGCTGTGTCCTACTCGGAAGTACAGCTCGCACTACGATGAGCAAGTAATTGTTATGCAAATTACAGACAGGCATGGCTCATTTCAGGCGAGGGACTGCGGTTGAAACTGTTCACGAATGTTCACGGTCTAATACATGTACATGGCGGATTAAGAGGGAGGTGTCAGGGGGATCCAGACCCCCTCCCCCCTTCGATTTCTGACAACAAATTACACCCAAAATATTTAGCTGAATAATAGTTATAAATCGTACCAAATGACGATATTTTCCCTCTAAAACACCTTTTTTCGGGGCCCTTAAGCGTGCCCCAAACATAACTCCAAGGGGGTGAGGGTCGGTGTAACGTGACACAGAGTCCGTCGAAACAGGATCCGCGGACTCCCGGTTTCAGAAACCAGGGGTCCTACGGACGTTCATTTTTTCATTTAATGGAGCCAGGTAGTTAATCCTACGGACCCCTGGTTTCTGAAACTGGGAGTCTTCATTATAGGGTCCCTCTAGTGTGACAGAAAGTCCGTGTAATAGAGGGTCCCCCGGACTCTCTATTACACGGACTTCCTGTCACGTTAGAACTATAGCGAAACGTGCTTGTCCTCTAATTTAAATATTCATGTATAAATGTATTAAGTGTTCATAAACATAGTCATTAATATTCATATTGTATTACTATTGAACACGAAAAGGCGTTGACAATAAGAGTCACGGTGTTTCGGGTTTTTCGGCACAGCTTCCTTCGTGGTGCAGTGGCAGAGATGCAGTGATGGAAGAGAGTCTGTCAACCAGTTGATATGGATATGGTGAGTAAACACGTTCGTATTACACAGGAGCCCCGTTAGTCTCAGAGCATTTCTATAAACAAATTCCTAAACTATAATTGGTGCTTTTTATCGATATCCCAGTGTTATTTTTTATTTTTGCATGATATTTAATGAATACTTTTCGATGGGCAAGCTCATTTTACGCTGGCTGTATATCTCTGCATTCACTAGATAAACCAACGTAAAAGCTAAACCCATGTAAAGATATACACCCGTCTTTTAATGGGTACGCCATAGAGGATTTTCACTCTTCACACACGAGACCTATATATTTGTGGAGGGTTCATCTTACTCGCAGTCGACTCACGATCGATCCTAAGGCGGTGCGGTTGTATTTATTAGAGGGTAAGTACCAAGCTGGCGCAACGTTGAACGCTATTTAAAAGATGTTTGAGACGCACTGCTAAAAACATTACAAAGTAAACAAAATACTAGCTGCGTATTTAACACTGTTTCAGACTGTTCATTTGCAGGTTGTCATATACTTACATTATGCAAGAAGCATTGTGCAAAGTGTTCATTTGATATATATTAAGACACTGTAACTGCATGATAGTACAAGTATTTTTCCTTTCGTCTCTATTCCATGGAGCACGCATAGTGTATTTCTCAATTTTCCTTTTTTCTAGCTACAAGATGGAATCCTCATGTACAGAACTGAGCAGAAAATCAAGACTGTGGAGGACGGAGGAATCACTGTCACTAACAGGAAATGGCGGAAAGTTGTGGAAAATTCTGAGGAAAAAAAACCTGGATCCGCCCCTGATGTACATGTGGATTTGACTTATTCATTCATACATTAATTGATCAATAAGACCACGGGCGCTAATATATACAGCATTCTTATTAATACTACGTTTATTCCATGGTACTGTAAAATGTAGGGTTATCAGTTTCATTTGTTTGATTGATTTGTCTACCTTGTTTATTCGTTCGTTTATTCGTTCGTTTATTCATCTATCATTCATTTTGCATATTTTAAAAAGATTTTAAAGTTTTTAGTTTACCAAATTTATCAGCTTGTAATTCCTGCCAGAATAGGTTCTTAATTTTTTGTGGTTATTTCATGTTCTAGGCTTGTGTAGTGTGCTATATTTCTTATCTTATTTGCAAGTCCCCATGTTTCAAGGAATATTTAAGTGGCTGAGGTCCAGGTATGTTTTTATCATATATCTCTTATTTACACAATTGTTTTACTATTCGGCTGCCTGGTAACTCTTCTATTCTTTTCCCAAACCTGTGTCAGTTTCACTACACCAATATTTATATAGGGTTCCTAGTTCTGCTTGGCTTGCATTATTGCTTGTTGATCTTTTAAGTCTCTAAGGCACCTATCTTTCTGCTGATTTAAAACAATAAAAATCTCCTCGAAAATATAAAAAATTGACTGTCATATTTCTCGTTGCAATGTATAAGCATAGGCAACTCAAAGCTTTAATTGTCAATTTAACGCCTTTCTATTTTGAGGTGAAATAGCAATTGGCAAGGGGCGTAACTTCATCCCTAAACAAGATTTTATCACGAAAATTGGCAGCTTTGACCTCGAGTGTATGGGCTACAATCTTGTGCCGTCATTTTTGTTTAAATATTTTTGTTATGGAGTAATGGGTCCCTAATTATAGATTTTCATTCAACAAAGGCATTATTTTGCTTTATCAACGATAAAATCTGAACCAAGACCTTTAAGGAAGTGACGACTAGAAATGACCAAACACGCCTTCCAGATATCGTAAAAAAAGCCTGGTAAATAAGAACGCTGCATTATATTCCCAAAACTTTATTTTAAAAAATGCCATAGATCGGACCTAACAAAATCAGCCAAAATCGACTATTTTTCAGGTTTTTACAAAAAGCGATCAAAATAATGTCCACAGAACTACTCCCCGGCACCGATACTTCCGTTTCATGTTTTTTCATTTTACGCATCGATACGACCCTACACCGATAGCTCCCCTCATCGAAACATACCCCCTAAAATTACTGTTGTACGCGCACCGATTCTTTTTCATCAATTTTCATCTATAAATAACTGTCATTGTAACTCAACGATATCATATTTAAAATATGCCATATAAATTTGAAAAGCTGTAGCTAGGATCGAGACCTACCAATGAAATCTAAATATTTTCAAGAAATTTCACTGGGCATAAATACGATTTAACCCGATTTATCAAAAGCCAATTGCCACCTCTTTATCTCGACTTTTCAATAAGAAACTAGGTAGTATCTAAAAGTTTAAAGCTTCAAAAATTTTGAGACCATAACAGAGTCAGCCAAGGGCACGTTTCGGTGCCACATTTGATCACGTCATGATGGACATTTACAGGTGAAGGACAATGTAGAAATAAGGGACCGAATTTGATCTAAGGACCAGGATAGAGCCGTAAACGACGCGTGTCCCATTCACTGTTCCTGAATTCTAAAATCTAGAATAAAAATATGTACTCAAGCATTGTAGCAGGACGGAAACCAATCCACTTCATGAGGACCCCATATCTTACCAAAATGTGAGAATAATTCTTGAGAAATACCCCAATCGTCAACATACACACTTCTACTTATATAATCTGCATGGGTATTTTTTTTCTCAGTATCCTTACATTTCTATTGAATTACTCCATTAGAAGAAAAACATCTAAAATAATAGGTTGTAATTTATTCCTCATGCTACTTTTTTCTTTAATGTTTACAACATCTTTGCTATCAGAAAACCACTTCAATCTCAAACCACTCAACGTGTTTGCCATGTAAAATAAGACCCTGAAAACAGCTATCAGTTCTCTGTAAGTAGAGCTCTCCGTCGCTTCGTCAGCTGACCATTCCTCGCAACACACCCTTTTAGGTGTCTCCACACAATATCCTCCAAACCCAGTACTACTAGCATCAGAATAAACTACCTTATTGCACTGAGGTAAAAGCACAATAGACACAGTATAATCTGACCAACAAAACTAGCCAGACCTCTGCTCACTTTCGTGCGAATATAATGCCAGTTCTCTAAGCTCTTGCTAATCTAATATCAAGAAATTTGATTTCCCCAATACTAATATCTATATCGATGCCTAAAAATGCCAGACTCTGTAGCTACGACCAAATAGTATTCTCATACGTTTGCATAAAACCTGACTTAGCAATATCCTCTTTGATTTCAGCACCCTGATGCTCCAGTCTATCTTTGTTACTACAGTACCACAGACCGTCATCCAATTACATCAAAGTTTGAAAACCTTGATATCTCCATTTTTTGATTAATTGGCTAGTCGATTTTGAAAAAATATAAAGTGCTAATGATAACCCAAATGGAAAAACTAAGAATCAAAAGTAAATCTGCTGATCTTGAATTATCCATGAAAAACCTCAATAATCTGTATGAGGATAATAGATATCTAGATGATGATAAGCTGAATCAAATTTAATCATCCAACCACACAGTTTCATAAACATAAGAGCCGTTCTCAAATGTCCGTAACTACCAGACTGCTTACAGACATGTTTGTTTACTTCTCGTAAATCTAAAATCAATCTATTTTTTTACACTGCTGTGCACTGCTACTGTTTAAGGGTTACCAACAATTGGTTGTTTGCTACACCTTTTAATCAAACGCTTCTTTTCCAATTCAAGAAAAGCTTTTTAACAAAAAACTTATTTTTCAATGGTGAAAGCTGTTATCTTTCCTCATCCCACAGGGTGTTGTTATAAACGGAAAATTATAACCATTTTATCAAGTCTAGAATAAAAGATGAAAACCCTACTTCTTCCCAAAAATTTAAATTGGTTCTTAACCTACTTTTCACGGGTATGAATTTCTGATTTTCCTCATGTTCATAATTATGAAACTCTTGATTGAAACTAACGCACTCATACATGTACCGGGTACTTATCTTTTTTTCAATGCTTCCGCCTTCTTCCCCATTCCAGATGTTCCATGATCTCTGGGGTTGGACTCTGGTGGAAGAACTTTCCCCTCTGTAAGTTGGTCACTCAAGCATGAAATGGCCCTTTCCTCAACAAGCTAAGCAAAGTCTCGACCCGCTGCTCCGAAAAAGACATCTCCGCTGAGAAGTATCGCTCACCACACCCATCTCTTGGTCTGCTGATATAACTTGATTTTTTTTTTTTTTTTTTTTTTTGCTCCCTTTTTGTTTTCTTTTAATTTTTCTTTGTAACTCTCTCTCTCTCTCTCTCTCTCGCTCCCAAAATCACTAGCAAGAGGATTTACAGTATATTCCTTAACAGTGTCGAAAGTGTCAGCAATTTTGATGTTGGTTTCTCTTGCCAAGACTGTGAGGCACTGTCAGTTTGTTCACCACAATAATCTTATTTTCCATTACTGTTGAGTCAAATTGATGGTGATTACCTTCTATTTTCCAAGATAAATATTGTCGACTTTCAGTTTTCACAATCACTGGCTTCGGCATTAAATGTAGACAGTCTATGGTCGAAATTGTCTTTCGGCTCTTTCTTTTTACTTTCCAAGGTAAAGTGTTCGCCTCCACTGGACTCATCAACCATGTCGTCTACGGAGTCGTAATCATAAGCGTGTTAACAGTACCGTGTCAATCGCCTAAATGACACGAGAACTCCGCTACACCAATCGCGCCCTCTTCTGGCGTGTCATAAACAGAGAGAAATTAATTTCACTTTAATTTCTCTCGTCAACCGATTGAAATTATATTTCTATTGACTCGCTACATCGAGCTGGACGTGACGCAGTTAAGGTGGTTCAAGTCAAAAGATTAGTGTCAGTCAAAAGGTTAGTGTCAGTCGGCCCTCCCCCTCCCCCCTCCCTCCCCCCCCCCCCCCCCCCCCCGACTGAATTTTCAAAATATAATGTAAATTTTTATTTTTGAGAAAATCGAACTCCCGTACACTCGATAAAGTCAGGTTTGCTTATTTCTCAAATTATTTCTAAGGGTTCGTTACTACTCCACGCGTTTAATTCAATAGATCAGGTGGTGGTCGTCGGCGTAACACTGATTACTGTCTGGCCCTACACGTTAATATATTCATAAAACTTAAGTTTAAAGCTTAAATGCGCAACCGATGACACAAATGCCAGTTATCTAATTAATTTGTGTCCACCGAGGTCAATTGGTTGCCGCCTCCCTAAACCTTCTATTAAATTCTAGCAACGTCTCGAACGATGCTTGACGTAAAACCTCCAATTCCGATTTAAGGCGCTCGGATTCATTCGCAGATAAAAAAGAAAGTGTTCTTTGATTACTCTCCACGGGTTTTCCAGCCTTTCTGGCTGCGTTTGCAAAAACCTCTCTATCTCCCTCCTAAGCGACCCCCCCCCTTGACGTTTTCGTTACCAATTTAACTGCTCCATTTACTTGAAGTTACTAACATTGTCTATGAATCATTAAATGTCCCCGACATCATGCGGTATCGCCTCTCTGATCCTCTAGTTTTCATGGTTTTTAAAATGCACGCTTCATTTGATAAGATAAAGCGTGCGTAATAAGCAAAGCATTTTGTCCTGTCACACAAGTATGTTATTGCTTTTTAACCTCATACACGGATCGTTGTGGAAATGAAATTAGGGGGTGTGAAAAATACATGGTTACTCAGTCCAATTCGGCTGAGCCAGTTCAGATAGAAATTCAGTGTTCGGACCAGGCTTTCACTTACTGCCTACCAGCATGTTTCCTACTGTTTTTTTTTTTTTTTTTCGTTTTTCCTAGCTTTTATTCAAACATGTTTTGAACAACAAAAGCTCTAGATATTATAAACATTTGGCAAACATTTTATTTCGAAACTTGCACCAGTTGCGTTTCCATTTTGCTGATTCTGTGACCATCTCCATAAATGGAATAGGCCTGCATTGGTGCACATGGACGCGGTCGCAAATCACAGTGGAATGCTTTTTTTTCACACAAGATTAATACACATTGTTAAGTTTAACTAGAAAATTAAATTTATAAATGGGCATTCAAGGTGTGTTTACATTATCGCTAGTAGCGCAAGAGTCCGAATTACTGGTTGCCTACGTGTGGACGAAAACGGCAGTGAGCCATCCTGAAGTATGAAGAATTTTTTTATTTAGTATTCTTTACTGAGAAATGGACCATGTAATACTAAATGCCATCGACCTCCTTTCGATTTTTGCCTTCGACTGCATTGAAATAGTGCCTCTACCCCCTACATCTAAACAGCCATACATGCAATCTGTTATGCCCATATCTAAGTATTTTTGTGTGTTTTATGGTATGTGCTGCAATTATAATTTTTTCTTTAACGAATTGAGTTGCGTGTTAAGAAAAAATTATGGCGTGTTTGCTATCTTCTGTTCAAAACATACTTTAAGTAAAATAAATCAACAAATAAAGAAGAACTTGTGCAATTTGACGCCAAGCTGAGTGGTCATTTTTAGCTTGAGGTGAACGTGGACGTGGACTCGGAGAAAAAAAGCAGTTTTTGTAACAACACGGTAAGTCAACAATTTATCTTCATGCATTTGGAGGAGAGAATACTTGTAGAAATAATAGAAGCATGGTATGAAAACGTGTCACGGGTGTTAAGGGTGAAAAATCGTGCCTAATTTGCAGTCAATTTGTTTTGAAATATATGCTGCATCAACCGCCAGCGCGACAAAGAGCGTCAAGGGAAAAGAATTGCCGGGAGGCTATTAATCGTTGTCATGTGGATTTTTTGCATGTATGCAATCTGTTATGCCCATATCTAAGTATTTTTGTGTGTTTTATGGTATGTGCTGCAATTATAACGACGTTTTAGTCTTTGAAGGACCTTGTGAAAACCAGGAAGTAGTTCGCAACTGACAACTGAACCGTACCGATCCACGACTGCTGTGCAAAGATGTATCCTTTTTAAAATATTGTGACAATTTTTAGACGTTTATGTGTCCATCTGACATGAAATTCCACACATTTGATCACACTTATTCACCTATTACACCGGGGTAGGCACTAATCAGTGACAACAACCCCAAATCTGCTATGCTACTTATATTACTAGACCTTTCAGCCGCCTTCGATACCGTTGATCACAGTACATTATTAACTTTTCCTTGAGGATAGTGTTGGTGTCAGGGATAAAGCCATTGCGTTTCTTCGATCATACCTCAGTGGGAGGTCACAGCAAATTTCAGTAAATGACTTTCTGTCCGATCTTTCACAACTTGTTTTTAGGGTGCCTCAAGGCAGTGTCCTTGGGTCACTTTTGTTTTGCATTTATACCCTGCCACTCGGTGCCATCTTACGTCATCACAAACTTGGATACCACATGTATGCTGATGATACTCAGATCTATACCTGCTGTGACATACAAAATCCTAAACCATCTATGGATCAAATTACCAACTGTGTGGCTGATATTCGCGCCTGGCTCATCAACAACAAACTGAAAATAAACGACGGAAAGACGGAGTTTTTATTAATCACGCAGCCACATAACAAGCAACTTGCTCTAAATCTACAACTTGAATTACCAGTAGGCACCAGTGTTGTGAACCCATTATCACACGTGAAAAACCTGGGTGCATGTCTACTTTGACTCCACTCTCTCCATGGATAGACAAATATCAAATATCACTCAATCATGTATTTTTAACATTAGAAACATTGGTGCTATTAGAAACTACCTGGATCAATCTTCTGCGGCAACAGTTGTTCATGCTATGATCACCTCTCGTTAAGACTACTGCAACTCTTTACTCTATGGCTGTACCGACGAACGAATAAAAAAACTGCAGCGAATTCAGAATATTTCAGCACGTCTTTTAACCCGAAGAGCCAGGGAGGAACATATCACACCCATTTTAAAGCAGTTACACTGGCTCACAGTCAGAGCACGCATTTTATTCAAAATTTTAACTTTAATGCATGCAATTTTTTACCAATCAGCACCCCCCTATTTACAAAAACTAGTTCAACGCTATGTGCCAAAACGTGCTTGAAGACCATTCGATCAGCTTTTATTAACGCGTTGTAATTCTAGATTAAGAGCGTACGGTGATGTTGCTCTGCAGGTCTATGGGCCAATTGAGTGAAGCGATCTCCCAATTTATTAGAAAACAATAGAGTCTAAGGTCAATTTTAAAAGAGAATTAAAAACTTATATCTTCAAAAAGTTTTACAATTGATTTGACTGGCTGTTGTCTTTAACACTGTACAGTTTATTTTTGATATATTATCAATTCAATTACATTTTAGTTCACATCTTTAGTTCATTATCTTATTATTTTAACTACCTTTTCATTTATTTTAGTCATCTGATTCTGTTCATTTTACCCATGTAAAGTCAACTGAACATTATATATATGGATTTTAGACTATAAATAAATATTTTTATTATTATTATTATTAAAATTATTAGATGCCAAGAAAAAGGTGACGTTCTGACAGCCTCTTATCACAAGTACTGGATTGGCTTTAAATGATGTTTTACAGCCAAGTACCTGTCAAAATGGTCTTGACTTGCACTTGATTCGCTGAAATTAACTAAGGTCGTTAGAAATTGTCATTTCTGGAGCTATCAAAATCAGCCCAAATCATCAGATTTATGTAAAATGTGTTCAAAATAAGCATTAAAACCCGTCTTTATAGATATTGATGTTTGCTTTTAAAATCTCATTTGAGGCAGGAGTGGGGCATCCAGACAAAGTTGTTCATTTAACTAATATGCTGACAAAATCACATTACCTCATAAAGACCCAAAATAACAACATTGTGCTTTTACCCCAAAACTTGGGAAATCTGCCACATTTGGGTAAGCACCCTCAAGTAGAAATAGACAAAAAATAGAAAAAAATAATAAATAAATAAACAAAAATTAATAATAATAATAATTAATCAATGAATGTTCATTTATTTCTCATTATTGCCAAAAATACAAAATGTGGAAATCTTTTCAGAGTTTTTGTTCACATGGAAGTATCAGTTCATAAAAAATGCACACTCAAAGTTAATTGCGCCTTCTCTGATAATTGCAATTGTCATTTTTCTAATTTCCAAAAAGAGACTTCAACATGATTTTAATGCATGGACTTATGGCTGTTTTTTCTTTTTACTTCCAGATTAAGCTGCTGGTTTGTACTTTCTATACCAAGGGTTTGAAGACCCAGTATGCAAGTACCAGAACCTGCTATAGGCACTTGTCTTGGAGCCACCAGAACACTTGCAATCCATATCCCTATCATCAAGGGGTGATTTCTTCGATGACATGCTGCGGCGTGGGGCATAGTACCTTGAAGACTTTGATGCTTTTGGACCTTTTATATATTGCCCATACTGACTAACATCATACCAGTCCTTGGAAGGCTTGGAATACTTGCTTTCACCCTTTGACACCGGTTTGCAAAGCTTAGACCATTTCTGCTTAATTTGACTGATGACTTGTAAAGCACTCTTCAAACTCTTTGGTGTTCCTGTGCTGTAGGTTACAGTGAGATTGGAGACCTCGGGATTCGTTTGATTGCACAGGCAAGGCGTCTCGGGAACAGTAAAGGTTGCTGAAATTGCTGAAATAAAAATGACAGGCATCATAAAATTCGATAAATTAAAGATAAAATAATAATATAGCAGGAGTCAAAATCTGTATAGATCTGATCAGTTTCCTCGTTCCAATATTACTAGACATTTATCACTGGAATATCCAAAGAAGAGGAACATTTATACTAAACTTACGTTTGCATATCTTTCCAGGTTGGCAGCGACAGTCTCTTACGCCATCCACCTCACTGCAAACTTCAAACTCATGGCTGCAACTGATATTCTTCTTAAAAATCCATGGTTTATCCTTGAGCTTTCCACATGTAAACCTCAAAGTGCAATTTTGGTCAGACCAGGAATCACCATCCTATCATTAAGAAAATCACCATTCATTATTATCATTCCAATGATTTAAAATGCCAGAGAGTTACTTGCATAAATACTTATACTATTTCTCAATCAAACTATGACTTTTATCAGCCATTTCAGGTAAATTGATGGAACCTTGTTATCACTTGATTTTTGTAAAATCTGACTGGAGATTTAGGAGAGTTAACGATGAATCTGCAAAGTTCATAGAAGAACATTAAGAACAAATTAAAGGACTTTCAAAGACACATGGGGCGCTGATTCACATACTTTGCAAGGACTTTTTGAATGCAAATGAAGGCAATGTACTGTTTTATAAGTGCACAAACCAAAGGAAAAAAGGTAATTATTATTTCATAAACACTTTATATTTTTACACATTGATGTGTTACACGAAAGAATAATGGCCAAAAAGTGTATTCTCCCCTTCTGCAAATTTTTATCGATATCCAACTTTAAAACTACAAGATATAAAATGATCTTTTTGACAAATTGTTTTGTAATAAAATTCATGTACTTTTCTGTGACAAAAATGATGGAATGCAAGCCCTTTTCAAGGCAAATAGCAATTTTAAGTATGTTTCAAGGCCACAATTCAACTGATTTCAAGATTGTATAAGCCTCGAGCAAAAAAAAAAATTATAAAGTAATACGTACGTTATGCATGTTACCATATCTGTCTCTGCAAACATAAGGACACTTCTTCTGCTTGACACATTTGTCTCCATAAAATACATAGCCAGGCTTACAGTAGCAGCCTGCAGAGTGCAGACGATCTTCGGGAACTTCGGAGGCACCACATTGGATAGCACGAGCAGGGGCAGATTCATAATAGTACTGTTTGTCACCGCATGATATTGCTAAAGGAATTATTTAACATAAGTTTAACAAGGTTATTTAAAAAAAGAAATAACAAGGGTTAAGTGTGTGTGTGACCATATGTGTATGCACCATACACAAGTGTTTGTGATATGAATAAATGATACACTATTCAACTGATTTATTTGACCTACTTAAAACACTACTTTTAAAATGCAACAAGCTTAATAGTTGTTCATTACTTTCTTTATTATAGTATATTTAGCTTTTGATGTAATCTTATGGAATTTTCAAATCAACTTACTGCATTTGCATTTTTTTCTCCATTTTTTGATAGGGTAGCCTGCATTATCGCACCGCAAGACCATATCTTCTAAGACAGCACATGCAGCCTTCTTGGCAACTTTATGGGAAGGATACTTCGAACAGGCATCTTGTAAACAGGCCTGATAAAGACCTTCTACATCAATTTTACCACTCTTAATACAGGCTTTGAAAGGACCCGATGACTTCTTGATCAAGCCACAGAAGTGTTTCTTGGAGTATATATCTCTCTTTTTATCGGTGCACGAGTCGCTGACAGGTCTTGAGGTGCATCTGATAAAATAAGAGAGGATATCCTTGATCTATATTGATGACAGAGTGGAAGTTTAGTTCTATTTGCATTTTGTTCTATTGTTGCATCAGTCACTGCAAGTTTCATCATCTAATACTTACTTGACATATGGAAACATTATATATGAGATACAAAAGAAAAATTTACACTCTTATATATAACTTCTATACACACCTTGTCTCATTGTATAGGTATACGGTTTGGGTCATTTTTTACTTTGTGCATACATTCTTTGTAATATTTACATTTCTTATTTTACATTTTCTTCAGAACCGTGTACAGTATAATTTAGGCTGTCTACATTAGTTGCATGTCACTAGCTTAACTGAGTAGGCATGCACAAATATATGTCATTCAAAACTGACCAATATTTTTATACGAAATTTAATAGTTATTTAATAGTTGTTTGTGTACTTTTACTTGCCTTGTGGGGAGGATAGATTTTGTATTTACCATGTTTTTATCCTCAACAAATTAAAGTTTTATAAATCAATGTATTCTCTTTGCATCTATAATTTAGTGTAAAGCTAAATTATAGTGTAGAGCCCATATATAGTTTGATTGCATTGTGTGGATATGTGAATATGGATGATCAGAATATGTTGTATGTGCTGGGTGTAATGATGTGACAGTAAAATCAAGTTTACAGAATTTTCAAGAGGTTCTTGATACCGTTAAGTGATCACACTTTAGTCAATGCAACCACCACTTATTACGGTGATCGCTTTAAATAGGGATTAGTTGCAATAAAGGTTCCATTAAGTTCGATTAAAAAAAAAATGTTATGTCAATCCAAATGCAGCTAAACCATAACACAAATATACCTGATAAAATTAATGGGCTTTATATTTTTTGAAATTAAAGCAAAAATTGAGTTATACCTGGAGCTTCCTGTGTAATCTTCAACTTCAAAGCTCTGCCCAAGAAGGTTGTCGCGAAGATAATCTGGCTGCACATTGCTCACATCAGTGCCATTTCTAAGCGTGTAATCATCGCTATGGTCACCATTGCAATTTCCACAGATACCACGTAAATAGCCACGGTATACCGCTGGTACCTTGATGAAGGCCTTTTCATCGTAGCCAAACCTGACAACCAATCCAAAATCAGTTGAAACTTTGACAGTTTTCCTTCCACAGTATTCAATTTTCACCCTGCCTCTAATCTTCAGGGGAACTCTGACAGAGTGTCCATTTACCTGAAACATGAATAACATAACATAACTCTCTAAACTTATACACAGGAGTTTTTTAAAAGAATAACATTTATACATCTAACACACTAATTATCAAAAATTCCATTATACATGTATTCTTGACACAGTTCAAATATTGCCTAATGAATTATTTCATACACCCTCCTAATACAAATACTTAAAAATTAATGAAAATGATTGCGTGAGTCTCAGAGTCAAAATTATTGCAAATTTACTGCATTCCCTGCAAATTTGCAATAACATGAATGTTTTCTTGCAATCTTACTGCAAACATAAGATATTTTTGCAAATATGCTGGCTGCAAATCTGATAGAACATAAAATCTTTCTTGCAAACTTGCTTAGCAGCAATAAAAATTTTTCTTGCCAACTGCAAACTGGTTGCAGCAAATTTGCTGCAATATAGCTGCAAACTTTTCATTTTCCTATCATGGGAATTCACATTGATATCTGTTCTGTGCAAGTTTGCAATCTATATGTATAGTAGTGCACAAGATTCAGATCTTTATATAGAGAATATGTATATATCAACTCACAGTAACTTGTCCTTCCCTGTTGATTTGGATAATGTAGCTATAAACTTCCACTGTGATCACATCTGTGGTGGATCCCTCTCCATCCTTGCCCTCAGCTGTATTCTTTCCTTTTACCCTAAAGCTCTTCAATACTGGCTCACATCCTTCCCAAGGCCTGAAGCTGGACAGCATATATGTACATGTGCCATGGAAATGAATGGTTTGGCCGTCGTGACTTGTAATATGGGGATCTCCGAAGACGTGGCATTGGCAGGGAGCATCAGAGGACACAGTAGCTGTAAAATAATCAGGAAGATGTGGTTTATAAAAGATAAAAAGTTGTTCGCTGTAAAATTAGTCGTTGTTTATTATGATTAACAAAGCACTGCTCTTTTTTAAGAAATTCAGTTTTGCATATTACATTTGAATTCTAGGAGATCATGTTTCTGTTATTTTATGCTGGAAACCTATAGGAATATGTACAGAAACTTGGATCATAAATAAATTCAGCTAAAAAGCCTATACAACAATGAACAACAGAATTAAGGCACAAGAAAAGAAAAGCTGAAGAGTAAGAGAACAAAATAAACCCAATCTTTGGACGAGTTGAGCAACAACTGATCAAACATACACTTCCCAGTAGATTTAAATGCAAAGAGAGAAAATATAACTAAGTCGTAGAAAATAATGATTTATCAATGTCTGCCTGGTTAACTTACATATCTCACAGTGTCTACCACTGTATCCTGATGCACACTTGCAATAATAGTCATTCACTTTATCAATGCATCTTCCGCCATTATAGCATACAACTCCGACACACTCATCAATATCTAAAAAATGCCATTGTAATTATATTTAAAAAAATTCAGTCAAGAAAGGTAATTTTTTCTAAATTCCCCATGGTAAAAAACAACCTTTGTATATCACTTAAACATTTGAATTTTATAATAGTTATTTGAAATGATCTGCCAGCTGCTAAAATAAACCAGTAGGGGCAAAAAATGTGACACAAAACAGGCACGCATCATTTCAGGCTGGTCAAACTAATATTAATCATGAAAACTGCAAAATGAAGTGATTTACCATAAGACAACAGTAAAACAAAGGAAAAATTAAATGAAAAGATATCTAAAAATATACTTACTCTGCTCGCATGAGAGTCCCGTGAAGCCTCTTGGGCAGACACAGACAGCTATTCCGTCCTTTTCCTTACACTGTCCACCATTATTACATACCTTACCAGCACAGACATCTTCAACTAAGAATTAAGATTTTATATTTAATGTATGAACAAATAAATTGAATCTGAGCATTCTTTTTTTTTTTTTATTTTGTAACCTTAATTCCAAATCTCAAAAATTAAATCAAAAGAAAATGTATAACAACTGGTAAAAGCCTTTGAAAATTACTTACCAAACTGTTTTCATAAAATAAAATTCAACTTTTTCTTATATATATATATTACATTTTTTTGGATATTTTGTCATGTCATTCTGATACACCATTCCAGAAACTTCAAGATACATTTTCTTTGAGCATCTGACATATATGAATAAATATCAAGTCTGAAGTAGCAAAACAGTGCTTTGCCAGTAATTCAGTCAAAATTTCTGATCAAATAAATCTATGGACTGAAAATGAGTAACAACCAATCTCCTTGGTACCTTCACATGTATATCCATCTCCAACATAAGGTGGTCTGCAGATACAGTGGCGCTCTCCTTCTATCTTCTTGCAGCTGGCGTACTGACTGCAGTTCTTGTAAGTGGTCACAATGTTTCCAGTGGAGTTACACTCGTATATCTTTGAACAGTCATAGCTTAGCCAAACTTCTCCAATCTGAGATATGATTTTAAAAAAAATAATAATAATTCAATCACTTGTGCATGGTTGAAGGTTGCATGTTACAAATTTTCAGGCTTCAATCTCCGTTGCAGTTTAAAACCCCTTAAATATGTGACAGAATGCTTTAATTGTACTAAATCTAATACCTTTAACCTTTGTAAGAGCTATTTTTTTTCAACAGCAATTAGTACAAGTTTCTTGTTTTTCATACATGCAAAACAATGGAAAAATTACAGTATTATGTGAACCATAATCATGTCTCCTGACCAAAGTCAACTAAAATAAGCTTGATAAAAAAGTTAACTGCCCTATCAAAATATCTGAGCACATCATCTGTAAAATTCAATTTATCTCATAATAATAATAATAATAATATTTAATATCTACACTCACCTCATGGTATCTTCCCATGTTCAGACAGCCACACTCTTCCTTTGGCACACACTGGGAGTCACTGAACACATAGCCTGGGTCACAGAAACATCCCTCCACTGGTGGCTCCGTACACTTCTCTGCTGCGTACAAGTCTGAACAGGTGGCCGGGCAGGCTGACCCTACTGGCAGGTAGTGGCTATGCTCGCCACACTCCATTACTATAGGAAGAAACATTTCACATGTTCAGCATTACTGTTGAATGTGCACATGGATTATGTTTTTGGGCCATGTTGTTTTGGGATAAAAGAAAGGTTATGTGAATGTACTTTGAAATACATGCTCATAAAGATCGGAAGCAATATTGATTAGGTATTAGGATATATGGCTGTGTGCTTATGTGATGAAAATAACTTTATGTTGAAAAAATGGAATAATCACTTTGTTTTGAAAATGGCCAACATAAATTTCTTTGTAACAAAACATGAAGTTCTATACTGATTTCTTGTCACTCACAGCAGCCAGAGGCAGCTCTCCAATCTCCTGTACCGACTCCAGCTTGTCTACACTCAGTGGCAAACTCTTCAAGAACACTGCAAGCCGATTCCTTTGCTTTCTTCCATGACTTCACACTAAGAGAACACACATCTCTCACACAAGAATCCAACCTATCCTGTGTGGACTGGACTCTGCCTGATGCTATACATTCTGCAAATGCTCCATCAGGACTGTTCAATAGGCCACAGAAATTGATGCTGTTTGCTTTCACCAAGTCATCCACAGAGCAAGGTGTGTCAACATTTGTTGTTCCATTAGTACACCTAATAAAAAGTGAATAATAAACTGTGAGTAAATGGATGGTGCTTTGACCTGATGGGCAATATACATGTATATGAAAGTACACTAAGGAACAATGTTGTGGACTTCAATGAAATTTATTATGTACATTTTTATGTTCTAACCCCAAAAAGGTATCACCTTGTATTATTCAAGGTGTTACGGCACAACTGGTTGTTCTGAATAGTCCCGCTTTTTATCCTTACCTTAAAAAATATATTACAAAAATTTTAAAACCATTGCTCAACTTTGAAAATAGGACAAATGTAAGCATGCAGCAAGCATATCTTTTAAATGCTAAATAAAAACTCACTCTTGGCTTCCACCTTCAATTTGGTAACTGATACCAATCTCATTGTCACGCTCTTCTGGATCAAGGGAGGAAACATCTTGACCACTAGCAGTTGTGTAGTCATCAATAGCGTTGTCATTACAACTGCCACATATTCCACACATCTCATCCTTGTAGCTGCTAGGAGCTCGGACTGTAACATGGTTATTGTCAAAAGTAACTCGCAGCCCAAAGTTGGTTGCCACATAGGTGTTGTAATTTGGAAGCATGCCAATGCGTATCTTATTTCCAATGTTCATCGGTGCGCAAATGCTTTCTCCATTCAGCTAGTAAATTAAATTAAAATGATAATAAGATTTTTAAAAAACAACTCCCACCTAAAGGGATTTAAAAATGCTCAAATGGTAAAGTGCGTTTGAGTTGTATAGTGATACATAAAGCAGAAGACTAGCTGGCAGCGGTGACTGCAATCTATACTTAAAGAAGGTATTTCAAAATCAAATGTTTTACGGTTTCAAAAAAAAGAAAAAAAAACATTTATCATGGAACCCAACACCTAACCAGGCAGGGGTCTAGGGCCGCTTTAGGTCCCCAAAAAATATAAATTTTAAAAACGCAGGATTCTGCATTTCAGCCAAAAAAGCTCATGTCTGGCCTTAACATCATTACCTGAATGGCAAGCCCTGGTCCAAGCCTAACAACGTGACTGTCAATGGTCACATCCACGAAGCGAGCAGTGGAACTTCCATCTTTGTGATCAATATCTACTTTGAATCCTGGAAGGCTGGGATCGCCTGCAGGGCAGTACCCAGACAGCAGGTATCTGCAGGTGCCATCAAAGTGGATGTTGCTCTGATCATAGGTGGTGTAGTCCATGTTTGCAGCTGCCCTACAAACACATGGTGTGCTGCTCAAGGCTGAAAAATAGTATCAAAATGTGTTATTAATCTAATAAATATGTATGTATTTAATTTTTTTAATGTTCTTGTTGATTTTGACTTTGGAATTAACAGTAACAGATAGTATCAATGCCTGACTAGGACTAAAAAAATACAAGTATACTATAATAAGCTTTTTTCACGATAAAACTCAAGTTACAAATAAAAATATTAATACCAACCTCCATCACAATTCTTCTGGCACAATGGCATCTTGTTGGCCTTGCAGGTAGCAAACTGCAGGACTATCTTGTGAGACTGGCTGTTGGGGTCTATGGGTTCTGTACTTCCCTTATAGTGTAGCTGGACGCAGTAGTTCACTTTGGCACTGCCCTGCACCTTGAATGGGTTGTTTGGATCCTGGCGATCAATCCACAGGATATCTTTATAGCCTACAGTGAAGAGAGAGTACATTAGAAAAAAATTTGACTTGTCTGTCTTTAATCTAAACAAAATGCTTGAAGTCTTGCTAGATGAATTGCAAATTGTTAAATTTCATGCTTATGTGATGACGCCAGATGACACATTTCTGTTTTTCTTAATATCTCAAGATTGCTGCATGAAAAAAAAATGCAACAGTCAAGAAACCACCTTGGATTAAAGCCCTTACAATTTAAGGTCATTTGTACCTTCAAGTACATTGCTGATGTTCTGCATGAATTGGGATCCGACAAGTTTAACTCTCAGCCAGTATAATTTTTATCAGCTTACCATCAGAGTTCCACTGTATCATGATTTTGCTACCACATATATATTTAACTTTGCCTCCAGTCCAGTATATCCTAGATTCTGTGAAACCTGCAAAAACAATGATCCAAATGTTAGGAATTGATTGCAAATACACAAATATTTATTGATAAGAAAATTGTGATGATGTTAATTGCTTATAACATATATAATTAAAGTCATCCTACCAGGGATTTACCTGCCATATAAAATTGTCTTTTTTAAAATCATTAATAATATCAAACTATGGACAAGTCATTACCCTATCAAATGAAATCTTTTCTTAATTAAAAAATTTAAAATATATACCACATTTATTGACATCTTAAATATTGTGCTAAAACATTGTTTTGAAAAAACTTACCAAAGCTCTGCAACCATTTCTCAATATTATCCCAGTCAGTTTTGGTATAGAATCTCACAAGATGGAGTTTCATGGAGTCTTCCCCATCAAGATACCTGCAGTACTTCTCGGCACTGGCTGCGTCAAAATTGGTGGGTTGTAGTGAAAGACAGCCTCCTGCTTGATAAGAGGTCAACACTGGAGACCAGTGTCCTTTTCCAGTTGGGTCAGCACAGGAGCAGTTACTAGGGGGAGGTGGTGTGGTTGGCTCTTCGGTGGTTGGAGGTAGGGTGGTTGGTGGCAGTGCTGGAAGAACAAGACAGGAAGTGAATCCAAGGGCAATAATGTTCTCTGTCAACTTATCTGGTCCTTGGAAGCATTAAAACAGTCGAAACTCCCACAAGAAGTACACCACAATACTCAGTTTCGCCTCTAACACAATTCAAAGCAATATGAAAGCAACTTTTATAATACTTAACAGGGCACTTCAACATGAAGAAAGAATTGAGGAATTGGAATTAATTTTTTTTATCTGATCCCTGTTTTGAAGTTAATTTATGTTACAGAGATGATATATATAAAAGGAAATAATTATTTTTCTAAGACAAAGAAGAGGTGAAAGGTTATCTTACGATCACAAGAGTAGCCATCACTGTTCAGGACGTAGCCATCATGGCAACTACATGTGCGCTCTGGTGACATCTCGCAGATGTGTTCACAGCCGCCATTGTTATTGTCACAAGGTCTAAAGTCTGAAATATTTTTTGTTAATTTCATAAATCAAAAATATCAAGATATTAAGATTATTAAAAACGCAAAGATACTCATCCCTGACCATTTGCAAAATCTTTTCAAAAACAAAGTCTCATAATTAAACATCAATTATTTAACAATTAATAAAAATTAAGTCATTTAAGTTAGTTGACAATTATTTTCCACTTTGATAGAGAGAGAAGTGCTCCTTTTCACCCTTAGCAATAATCCATTTTCAAATAAATTTCTTTAAACCAAGACTCTTGTCTTCATAGAATTTTTCTCTTTTTTTCTTATACAATAAAACTACATTTTCAGGCATTGTGATCTGTTTTGGTAACATACCTCCTAGACATGTCTTCATGGCAAGAGGAAGCTTCTTGGTCCAACAGCTACCAAAACGAAGAGAAACCTTATGGGTGCTAGTGTCAGGATCAATAGGATCTTCACTTCCATAATAGTCTAAGAATACACAGTAGCCCTCTTTTACACAACCCTTGACCAAAGGACTGTCACGGTCAATAACGAAAACATCATCACCTCCGTTACAATCCCAAACAATGTGAATCTCTGAACTGTTGACCATCTTCACTGACCCACAAGTCCAGAATGATTTGCATGTTGTAAAGCGTGGTGGGTTGGGTATGTAATCTAGAAAGAATGTAAAATTATTCATCATCTTGAAGATATTGTTATCATACTGATACTACAGAAATTAGAGCTGAGAATTCTTTAAATAGCTATGGCATTACTTTAAATATCCACATTCCGTGAAGTGATTGTTACTCCTTAGATTGGAAAACCAGATTTATTGGTAACCCAGCTATGAAAAATGTACTGTTTTTCAGACAAAAACCCAAGTACATCACATCTGTAGAAATAAACATGTAAGATAAAAGAATAGAGCATGCCACTATCTTCTTCACAGAATTACTCAAAACAGTTATTCACACTGAAAGTTTTAATAAGCCTCTCAAATCTTCAAACTTTTCCACCTTTTATTTCCTTCCCAATGATTACAAATGGTGTCAACTCTACTCACCTACACCTTGGAGCCACTTCTCAATAACAGCCAGATCCTTCAGCGAACTAAATGACACCAAGGATGGCTGAGGGAGAGAACCACTTCCATCTAAGTTTTTGGCAAACTTTACAGCCTTACTGCGACGCATTGGTTCATTCTCCCTATATGTCATACATCCAGCATCAAGGTCCAGCGAGCTGACCGCCTGCCAGCCGGCCTCTCCTGTATGGTCAGGGCAGTGACAGATGGGCACAATTTCTGTACAAAATAACAAGAACTTCGGAGTTCAAAGAAAAAAGTAATGTTTGAGAAAATAGTTGGTGTTGCAAGTGTTCATTGTTGATAAAGCTGCATGATTCAATTTGCTTGTGTTTCTTTTTCTTAGTGTATAGAAGAAAATGTAATATTTCCGAAAAAACCTGAATTTCTCCAATACTTATTAATAAATGAATAAATTAAACACACAAAAACATACCTATTTTATATGTAAGACCAGTACATCTGATTAATAATGTAAATAAAAATTAGCCTAACCTTTCCTTTTACTAATTTATAAGCACCAATTATACAACCTGTTTGAAATATGATAGAAATGTTCATAATGTTACCTTCACAAGAATGTCCATCATCCTTCAGCTTGTATCCATCTTTGCAGCTACAGGTGTACGACCCTTCTGTGTTATGACAGTAATGTTCACATCCATCTGTGCCTTCTGCACACTCGTCTATGTCTGATTTTAAAAATATCATTGAATGTATTCGACTAATATCGGTTTTGAAATAATTGAAAAAGGCTCATTTGCTTTGTTACATTGTAATTATCACTACATAATAAGTGAAAGTTGCAAAAATAAAACTTCAGATCATCAGATATCATGTCTTCTTTCTTTAATACAAATAATGTTTAAATAGGTTAAAATATTTGAATCATTACGCTGTGTTAAATCTTTTATCACTTAATTCTCATTTGTCAAAATTGCAAGAAATCAAACTGCAATCATATTTTGTATGTGGAACTGAATGAAATATCTTACCTCTACACCCGTGCCCATCATCCAGCAACATATAACCAGCATGGCACTGACATTCGTAAGATCCAACTTTCTCCACGCAGATGTGTGCACAGCCACCATTATTGGTCTGGCATTCAGGAATATCTAGAAAGTAATTTAGTCAGATTTGCAACATCATGGAATGAATTTTTTGTTACACAGAATATCAGCTGTGTATCTACTTCAAATAGTTTACTGTTCCTTCACACTTTCAAGCTTTGAAAAATAAAGTGAAAAATACACATTAATTACCTTTAGGGGAATACAGTATTTTACATTTAGAGTTAAGAAAGCATACAAAATTTTGAGATCATAAAACTTCTTAAAATGTGCTATTACGTAAACTATCATCTTTGACAATAAAATTACATGCAACACTTACACAAATCAAATAATTTGAATATAGGGAACTTTAATAAACATACACCCACCATAGCAATTAGCCTTCTAAATACTGCACCAATATAATACTGCGCCAATATAACAAAGCACTGTATTATATTACAACTAGCCTGTCTTACCTATGCACTTATGTTTGTCATTAGGGTCCACCATGTAACCATCATTACATGTGCAATAATAGCTACCTTCTGTGTTGACACACTCATGGTCACAGCCACCATTGTTATGTTTACATTCATTAATATCTGGAAATAGATGTCAAATAATTTTTTTAATTCATGACTAAAATATTGATATGTAATATATATCCGGACTAGATACCAGTCAGGGCCTATATGTATTAAATTATATTAAAAAAAAATAAAAAACGGGTTTCTACAGGGGATCTAAAAATGTCAGCAGTGAAAGGTACTTAATAATTGAACAATTACTAATACCTAGTTAAATTTCTGTGACTGAATCAAATGAAACAAAACATACCCTCACAACCATGCTTGTCATCCATCAACATAAATCCATCATTGCACTGACATTCATAAGATCCAGGGATCTCTACACAAATATGTGCGCATCCCCCATTATTAACATCACATTCAGGAATGTCTGAAATACAGAGTTCAAATATATTTACTAGTATTTATAGTGCATAAACTGGTGAGCACAATTTAAAATATACATTTGATGTTCAACTTATGTCCTATAAATGAACTATCAAAAATACAAAAAAAAACTCTATGTGAAGATGATGGTTAAGTACATGAAAATGCCTGTGTAAATTGTGCACAGTATTTCCTATCAAGTTTCAATGACGTTCATGCAACTGTTACTTAAAAATCACATGATACTACCCATTTAAAATCAGACAGGAGCCTGGGTTACAAAAAATTAATTGATAATCTCTAAATTCTGAGCCCATTTCTGTTTACATATTAGCTCCTGTGAGAGCAAGAGAAATCACTTACCATTACATGTGTGTTTGTCAGCATTTAGAAGATAACCTTGGAAGCAGGAACAAGTGTAGGAACCATCTGTGTTGGTGCAGACGTGATCGCAACCACCATTGTCAGTTTCACATTCATTTATGTCTTGAAAAAGTGAATGTAACATTTGCATAAGCTTGTAAAGGATAAAAAGAGCTGCAAATTTTGCTGAAATTCCCTTGGGGAAACTTGACAATAAATTGACTAAGATTTAGCAACACGTATAAACATCATTTTATACAAATATTTAATTATTAAAAATTCAGGAACCAACACATTTAATAAGCAAATTGAGGGGAGGGGCTGAAAAAGGGGGGAGAAGGGGATTCTGACATTTTAAAAAATATATACCATTTTAAGAAAATACATCAACATCCAGACCTGCAACACATGCCATTTGAGTTTTTTACCTTTACATCCATGCATGTCTATCATGAGCTCATATCCTTTCTCGCAGCTGCACTGGTAGGAACCTTGCAGATTTGTACAATTTTGGCCACAGCCTCCATTGTTCACACTGCACTCATCAATATCTAGATTTGTAATTGAAGATATTATTATATACGTATAACTAAATGGAATATCAATCTGTTATTTTGATCAAAATTCCTTAATATTTAATTTGTTATACAATCAGCAGCAAACTGTAAAACAGTTTTTCATCATTATTTAAAATATCCATTGATTACAGTTTTAACCGACACATTATTTATCTTAACTGATTGCACTATTCACAAAATAGTATTAAAGTCTTTAACACAAAAAAAGCAAATCAGATAAAATGATATTCATTCTAAATCACTTGAGAAAGTAAATTACTCTCATCCATCACAGAGTTTCCCTGTTCATACCTATGCAATTATGACCATCATCTGTTAACATGAATCCATAGTCACATAAACATTTGTATGACCCAGGTAGGTTTTCACATTCAAAGGCACAGCCTCCATTATTGTTATCACACTCATTTATGTCTGGAATTAAAAATGACAAAAATGTATGAAATGAAAAACAAAAGTTCTCCATGTGTGTAATGCATTAAAATGCAACAGAGCTAAAGAATTTGGATTTATCAGAATGTATATATTAAATAAATATGAACTAAATTTACAACAGGTTAAAAGTAATTGGTGTTCCATGTTATTAATAGTTATGGCACACCTTATAAACCCACATCAAGATCTAATGATCATGAAATTAACTTCTGAAAAATGCAATGAAGATGATAATTAAACACAATTCATTATTTCATGTCTTATCAACTACTAACCATTACATCCACGGCCATCATCTGCCAGCATGTATCCATCTTTACAGCTGCATTTGAAAGAGCCTATCTCATTGATGCATTTTTGAGCACAGCCTCCATTGTACATCAAACACTCGTTGATATCTAAAGAAGAAAACAGACAACATGGTTTCCAAGTGCTCTTAAGACTTCTAGAACTTTGATTGAAGAACATTCTGCTTATCTATAATTTTTTAAGCATTCTACAAATAGTCATTTCTCTTTCATTCAGTTCAGTGTAACAGACAGAAAAGTTGTACGGAATTTCATCTTACCGTCACAGGTCTTGCCATCCATGTTGAGAACAAACCCAGATGTGCAACTGCACTTATAACTTCCTATCGTGTTGTTACAAATCTGTTCACAACCTCCATTATTGTCCAAGCATTCGTCAACATCTTAATTAAAAAAAGGAAAAAAGAAAAAATATCATTTAAAAAATGTCATTCATTTAACAGTAATGTGATGTATACTACAGTAATGTGATGCAAATCTGAATTACCAATTATCTTTGTATTGGTTTGGACATTTGACCAACAAAGTGACATGACTTTTTAGATGATTGAAGTTTAGTAAATTGCAATAAGAATAAAATGACTGATTAATTACTACCATTAATTTTAAACAAAAAAGAAAAAATTGAATTTTTTTTTGTTTAAAATGTAAGAAAAAAAAAACCAAAGTGATACCTTTGCAGCCATGTCCATCATCCTTCAGCATGTAGCCAGATTTACACTTGCACTTGTAGGACCCAGGGAAATTCTCGCAATAATGAGCACAGCCACCATTGTTAACATCACATTCATTAATATCTGGAGAAGACAAAATGAAAATGTTGTTTTTAAAATCAAACTGGTAAATGCTAACTTCTGCTCTAAAAGGTTAAGTCAATTTTTTTAAAAGGAAGCACAAGCATCTTCATGACTTAAATTTTGGTCTTCATCAACTCTAAGGGCCTCCTTTTTTTCAAAACTATATATCCCATAAGACTAGTATTGTATGCTGATTCTATTTTTCATAAATTCTCCTTCATCAGAATTTCACAAAAATTTAACCAAAACATTTTGGATATCAGGTTCCATTTGAATCTAACATATGCTGGCACAATTACATTACACTTAATTGGGAAAGTTTAATGAATAGATCTTTTAACTTAATACACATATCCCAAGCTGACCTATTCCATTTATATAAGATGAATATATATGAATTTTAATAACTTAAGAAACAACATACCATGCAGTAGGAGCAGCAGTAAATGAAATCCTGTTGAATCACAACAGATAGCAATCAAAATATTGAACTTAAAAGTTTTGTTTTATATTATTATGTGTGTAAAATTGTGTCTTAAGATCCCCCACCTTGACAGCCATGTTGATCCTCCTTCAACATGTATCCTGCGCGGCAGCTACAGACATAGGAACCTACTGTGTTGTCACAATCATGCTCACAGCCATCTGTGTTGTCCCCACACTCATTAATATCTGAAATATTTTTTTATTAATAAAAATAGAAGTTTGACTCTCCAATGCATTTTTGTCCAATGTCTTTAATGAATTCTAATCGTCTAAAGCAATTTTGAAAAACTTTAATAGCCAATATTCATTTCAATTCAATGCTGAAGAAATGCCCTACCTTCACAAGTTTTCATGTCTGCAGCCATCTTGAAACCGTTATTGCATTGACATTCATAGGAACCAATTAGGTTCACACAAATCTGATTACAACCGCCATTTTTGTCAAAACACTCATCTATGTCTGTAATAGAAAGAAAGATAGCTGGAATACAAAATACTAACAACCTTTTCAGAGCAAGTGTAGCACTGACTTTCCTCTTTAATCAATAATTTAAAGAAAGCATAGGGTTGTAAGCCCTGTATCAAAACTTAAATCGTTCATTTGTGCAGGCATGGACTTTTAAAGTAGAAGATGTAAAGATGAAAGTATTACCTTCACAATTTTTCTGATCTGGTTTCATTTTGTATCCAACTTTACACTTGCATTCATAGCTGCCAGGTAGGTTTATGCAATCATGCTGACAACCTCCATTATTTTCAAGGCACTCGTCCACATCTAAATATTTACAAAATAGTAAATAAAACATGTTACCAATAGTGAACAACATCATATTAATTAATTAATTATTACAGTGAATGGTAAGAAGAAGCATGCTACATGTAAGTGGTAAAAAGAAACAAGCTACATGTAATAATTTATTTGTTCTCCAGAGATATAGTATGACAACTATCACACATCTAGAGGGGGGAGGTTTTTAACCAAATCAAAACTGTAGCAAAGGAAATAATAGTAATCTCTTGTACATACACATTTTAAAATATTCAGTTTTGACTTGTGATATAAATGTTATGACCTACTGGGTCTTCTTGATGCTGAACAATATCTAAATGCATCAAGGGCAAAACTGTAGAAAAAGTTTGTCAATGAAAACTAGGCTACCGAGCAGAATCTGAAGCCTTTCAAGACATGATGTACAAGTTTCAGAGACAAATTTACCTTCACATGTCTTCATATCTGGTATCATTTTGTATCCAACCTCGCACTGGCATTCATATGAGCCATTTTGGTTCACACATATCTGATTACAACCACCATTGTTGTCAAGACATTCATTTATGTCTGAAACATCAAAACAATATGTAACAAGTTAAATTAAAATAATTATTATTTCAATAATAAGTTTGAGTTTTAAAGTGCAGAAAAATCTTAACAACAAAAGCTTACTTTAAGTATAATATGTCTATAAAAGAGTAAAGTACAACCATAAACAATCTAAATAAAGGACATATGTAACAAAAAAGGATCATAAAAAAGTACATCCACTAATATACCTTTGCACCCTTTGCCATCATCTTCCAACATGAAGCCAAATTTACAAGTACATTGGTATGAACCAATCTCATTGATACAATTGTGTGCACAGCCTCCATTGTCAACTGCACACTCATCAATGTCTGAAATTTAAAGTTCATCAGGTCTATGATAGTTAATACAGTGAAAAATGAAACAAGAAAATCTACTGTTTATCTGTTCAAAATTCCTCGCACCTCACTAAATCAAATGTTTAAGTTGTTAAAGATTGACCATTTTGCTACTCAAATATAGGCATTTTCTAGTATGATCCCCTTTTTAGATTTTTTTCAATTTCAGTGTATTCAGCACAAATCTTTTTTTTTTTAAATACAGACAAGTCACTTGAGCTTGCATGGCCAGCTGAAATAGATCTACTGGTAAGGAAAACACCCACCCTGATGTCTGAGTCAATTCAAACTGTGTCAAAATATTCATTGAGTATTCAAATGTCACATTTTACAAGAATTTGGTATAGAAATGCACTAGACATCTTTGACATTATCACAATGGTTACTGTTACATTGCCTTCTGTGAACCCATTCATGGGGAAGATAAAGTTCTGCTACACATGCATCAAACAAAAACTTATTAACATTTTTACTGGAAATATCTTCACTGGTAAAAATTTACTGTTCCACAATAAATACATCTACTCTCATACCAGGGCTATGGCACCTACCCTTGACTTTGAAATGACAAACTAATAAAAAAAGGATTTTCGATAAAAAACTATTTATCTTTTGTCTAGTCATCTCCTTCATAACCAGATGCACACAAGTACAGGTGCACATATTCACATCATCAGTGCATGCCCTCCATTATCAAATATTAATTCTCTCACACATAATTCATATTATACATTTAAATGTTATTGTAATTTCGAATGTTTCCTTGTTAATCACAATTTTTTTTTACAAAAAAAAAAAAAAAAAAAAATCAAAACTTATTGTTATTAGTTACCTTCACAAGTCTTCATGTCTGCTGTCATTCTGTGTCCTGCTTCACACTGGCATTCATAGCTGCCATTTTTGTTTAAGCATATTTGATTACAGCCACCATTCCGATCAAGGCATTCATCCACGTCTGAATTTTTAAAAAGGTATATGGTATATGCACATTATATCATTACTTAACACAGCTGACAAGTTTGAATATTTTTACATTAAACCACATTCACTTTGAACTTAAGGGATTATCATCCAACACAGATAAGTAACAATTTAAAGTCAATATCACAGTAAACATATTTTGGTTGTTCAAACTGTGTTTAATACTGTTCTTATTATTTATGAAGTGGGTTGTACTTTATATATTACCTTCACATGTTTTCATATCTGGTTTCATTTTGTATCCTTTTGTACACTGGCATTCATATGAGCCAGCTTTGTTCAGACATATCTGATTACAACCACCATTGTTTTCAAGACATTCATCTATGTCTGAAACACCAAAATACAGCTCATTCATTAGATCAGTGGTCACTGGTCACCTTTCAAAAGTACATGAAATGTGGTACAAAAATGTGTGCTATAAAATTATAAGCAAGTATCAGATATGTTACCCCAGAATCTTCTACTATTCCAATGATTCAAATATATCTGTCATCTTTTATTACTTTCTAGCAGAAGATACATCATAAAGCAATGCCATACCTTTGCATCCTTTGCCATCATCTTCCAACATGAAGCCAGAATTACAAGTACAGTAGTATGAACCAATCTCATTGCTACAATTGTGTGCACAGCCTCCATTGTCAACTGCACACTCATCAATATCTGAAATTAAAAAGGTTTGTTGTTATTTAACATCCCATATCAACAATATTAAAGTGACTTATTTGTATCACACTCATTGACATCTGAGGGATAAAATATATCCGATTTATTAATCCAAAAATATGAAAAAAAAAGGTCTTAACAATAAATGGAACTTTTCAATAGCACTTGCACCTGTATGACTTTCAAATATTATAATCTTACCAATCTTTTCATATAGATTATAACCAAAAAATTGGAATTGTAGTGATACCTTTACAAGTTTTCATGTCTTCTGTCATTCTGTATCCTTTGTTGCATTTACAATCATAGGAGCCAGGATTGTTCTCACATATCTGATTACAACCACCATTGTTGTCATCACACTCATTTATGTCTGAAATATGAAAAATGGTATCAAAGCAACAAATGAAAAACAACATTATCAAATATAAATTGACACACACACAAATATATCATTTAAATCATACATCTAAATGTAATTTCAAATGTTTTCTTGTCTATCAAATATCTTTACAGAAATAATAACATTTCAAGATTTATTTTTATTTAGTTACCTTCACAGGTCTTCATATCTGCTGTCATTCTGTATCCTGCTTCACATTGGCATTCATAGCTGCCGTCATTGTTCAGGCACTTTTGATTACAGCCTCCATTCTGGTCAAGGCATTCATTCACATCTGAATCATTAAGAGGTATGACATGTATCCACATAATATATAAATTCCCTATACAACTGACAAGCTTAAATTTTTGACATCAAGTTAATATTCAATTTGGTTAACTTGATTTTGGGGTTATCATCCAACATAGTTTTACTAACAATTCAAAGTCTATATCACAGTAAGCATTTTCTGGTTGTTCAAACTGTATTCAATACTGATCTTTATATGAAAAGAAGCTTGTATTGAACTAATTACCTTCACATGTTTTCTGATCTGGTTTCATCTTGTAACCTGTCTTGCACTGGCATTCATATGAGCCAACTTTGTTCACACATATCTGATTACAGCCACCATTGTCCTTTAGACATTCATCTATGTCTGAAATGCCATCATACATTCATTCATTAGATCAGTGGTCTACCATTTACATGTACATAAAATATGGTACAAATTGTGTGCTTTAAAATTATAAAGAAATGTCAGATGCACTCCATAATATGCTTCCATTCCAATGATTCAAATACATATGATATCTTTTATTAATTTCATAAACCAATGCCATACCTTTGCATCCTTTGCCATCATCTTCCAACATGAAGCCAGTATTACAAGTACAGCGGTATGAACCAATCTCATTGATACAATTGTGTGCACAGCCTCCATTGTCAACTGCACACTCATCAATATCTGAAGTCAAAAGGTATGTCATTTAACAATGTTAAAGTGACATGACTATCAAACCAAAATCAAGTTAACTATGCAAATAGTTCATAGAGAGAGAGAGAGAGAGGGTAATATTTATGAGAAAATACTAAACTTATTAACTATTGGCAAATACTGTGTCAATACACAGATCTTTAAGCACACATCCTTCACTCTCAAGTTTGACGGTCTTTCTCAAACTGACTACTATATGTATGTAATATGGTATATCAGCCCTGCAAAAATATCTGATAATTTCACATTAGGTGTCCTATATTACAAAACCTGCAAATCACACATCTGATGAAATTTGGTCATATTTTTTTAGACAAGAAATGGACTCTATGTTCTCTACAAACTGACTGTTACCTTTTTCACAGTCATCTCCTTTAAATCCTGATGCACAGGTACAGGTGTAGGAATTCACACCATCAATGCACGTTCCTCCATTTTGACATGGATTATCCACACAGTTATCAATATCTAGTAAAAATAAATCATACGCAACTGTAGCATTAGGACAAACTTATACCTACTAGTAGATATTAACAAACTTGCATAAAGGGTTCATACATTTGGGTGCCTTGATAGAAAATTCTTTAATCTTACTAAGATTTAAAATGAAGACAATGGTTCATATTTTCACTGGCAGTTCTATCAAAATGAGAATGCAGAAAATTACATGAGTTTCATATCAGACTAACAAACTGAAAATGACACTTACCTGTTTCACAGTTTATTCCAGTAAACCCAAGGACACAATTACAATGGAAACCCAACACTTTGTCCTCACATGTGCCTCCATTTTGACACGTGACACCAAGACAGTCATCATCATCTGGAAGCACGCATTAAAAAAGAAATGTTTTTTAATATCTTAATCTTGTTTAAGCATGTTCATCACATTCTGAATATAAACTTCAATAAATAATTCAACTGAACACTTGACAATAAAAAATACAAAAAAAAATGGATTATCAACAGATGTCAACCGAATTAAGAATGCAATGAACATTATAAGAGCAACTTATTCAATAATGTATTTGCAAGACCAAACCTATCTTACTTTCACACATTTTGCCGTCAGCCATGAGAGTGAATCCAGGAATACATGAACAATTGTATCCTCCATCTTCATTGTTACAGTTCTGTTCACAGTCACCATTATTTGTATCACACTCATTGATATCTGAGGAATAAAATATCATATGACAAGAACTTTATAATCACAGATCTTTTAAGCAATGAGTTGTCTTTCCCAACAAAACATACACGCTATTACTTTTGAAAGCGAAATTTTTAANGTCAGATATGTTACCCCAGAATCTTCTACTATTCCAATGATTCAAATATATCTGTCATCTTTTATTACTTTCTAGCAGAAGATACATCATAAAGCAATGCCATACCTTTGCATCCTTTGCTATCATCTTCCAACATGAAGCCAGAATTACAAGTACAGTAGTATGAACCAATCTCATTGCTACAATTGTGTGCACAGCCTCCATTGTCAACTGCACACTCATCAATATCTGAAATTAAAAAGGTTTGTTGTTATTTAACATCCCATATCAACAATATTAAAGTGACTTATTTGTATCACACTCATTGACATCTGAGGGATAAAATATATCAGATTTATTAATCCAAAAATATGAAAAAAAGGTCTTAACAATAAATGGAACTTTTCAATAGCACTTGCACCTGTATGACTTTCAAATATTATAATCTTACCTATCTTTTCACATAGATTATAACCAAAAAATTGGAATTGTAGGTATTACCTTTACAAGTTTTCATGTCACTTGTCATTCTATATCCTTCGTTGCATTTACAATCATAGGAGCCAGGATTGTTCTCACATATCTGATTACAACCACCATTGTTGTCATCACACTCATTTATGTCTGAAATATGGTATCAAAGCAACAAATGAAAAACAACATTATCAAATATAAATTGACACACACACACAAATATATTGTTTAAATCATACATCTAAATGTAATTTCAAATGTTTTCTTGTCTATCAAATATCTTTATAGAAATAATAACATTTCAAGATTTATTGTTATTTAGTTACCTTCACAGGTCTTCATATCTGCTGTCATTCTGTATCCTGCTTCACATTGGCATTCATAGCTGCCGTCATTGTTCAGGCACTTTTGATTACAGCCTCCATTCTGGTCAAGGCATTCATTCACATCTGAATCATTAAGAGGTATGACATGTATCCACATAATATATAAATTCCCTATACACAGGGGCGGACCCAAAGATATTTTCTGACAGTCTTCCAAATTATCTTTGTTGCTTCATCCTTCATTTTTGACTGTCTTCCGACAGAAAAAAAATTAGATACCCATCAATGTAAACTTGAAAATCTGACCGTCTTCCGGAAGACCCAGAAGACGGCCTAAATCCGCCCCTGATACAACTGACAAGCTTAAATTTTTGACATCAAGTTAATATTCAATTTGGGGGGTTATCATCCAACATAGTTTACTAACAATTCAAAGTCTATATCACAGTAAGCATTTTCTGGTTGTTCAAACTATTCAATACTGATCTTTATATGAAAAGAAGCTTGTATTGAACTAATTACCTTCACATGTTTTCTGATCTGGTTTCATCTTGTAACCCGTCTTGCACTGGCATTCATATGAGCCTACTTTGTTCACACATATCTGATTACAGCCACCATTGTTGTCAAGACATTCATCTTTGTCTGAAACATTGTTATTTTGAATAATCATAAAATAACCATATGAGCTAAGGTAAATATTTATACCAAATGATGGATAATGAACCCACCATCTGTTACTTTTTTTTACTTTCAAAAATCTCTGCAATATTTAGGACTCAGTTTCAAATAAATGTTGCATTATGTTGCCATACCTTTGCATCCTTTGCCATCATCTTCCAACATGAAGCCAGTATTACAAGTACAGTGGTATGAACCAATCTCATTGATACAATTGTGTGCACAGCCTCCATTGTCAACTGCACACTCATCAATATCTGAGGTCAAAAGGTATGTCATTTAACAACGTTAAAGTGACATGACTAACAAACTAAAATCAAGTTAACCAAATAGTTCATAGAGAGAGAGAGGGGGGGTAATATTTATGAGAAAATACTAAACTTATTAACTATTGGCAAATACTGTGTCAATACACAGATCTTTAAGCACACATCCTTCACTCTCAAGTTTGACGGTCTATCTCAAACTGACTACTATATGTATGTAATATGGTATATCAGCCCTGCAAAAATATCTGATAATTTCACCTTAGGTGTCCTATATTACAAAACCTGCAAATCACACATCTGATGAAATTTGGTCATATTTTTTAAGACAAGAAATGAACTCTATGTTCTCTACAAACTGACTGTTACCTTTTTCACAGTCATCTCCTTTAAATCCTGATGCACAGGTACAGGTGTAGGAATTCACACCATCAATGCACGTTCCTCCATTTTGACATGGATTATCCACACAGTTATCAATATCTAGTAAAAATAAATCATACGCAACTGTAGCATTATGACAAACTAATACCTACTAGTAGATATTAACTAACTTGCACAAAGGGTTCATACATTTGGGTGCCTTGATAGAAAATTCTTTAATCTTACTAAGATTTAAAATGAAGACAATGGTTCATATTTTCACTGGCAGTTCTATCAAAATGAGAATGCGGAAAATTACATGAGCTTCATATCAGACTAACAAACTGAAAATGACACTTACCTGTTTCACAGTTTATTCCAGTAAATCCAAGGACACAATTACAATGGAAACCCAACACTTTGTCCTCACATGTGCCTCCATTTTGACATGTGACACCAAGACAGTCATCATCATCTGGAAGCACGCATTAAAAAAGAAATGTTTTTTAATATCTTAATCTCGTTTAAGCATGCTCATCACATTCTGAATATAAACTTCGATAAATAATTCAACTGAACGCTTGACAATAAAAAAAAATGCAAAAAAAAAATGGATTATCAACAGATGTCAACCGAATTAAGAATGCAATGAACATTATAAGAGCAACTTATTCAATAATGTATTTGCAAGACCAAACCTATCTTACTTTCACACATTTTGCCGTCAGCCATGAGAGTGAATCCAGGAATACATGAACAATTGTATCCTCCATCTTCATTGTTACAGTTCTGTTCACAGTCACCATTATTTGTATCACACTCATTGATATCTGAGGAATAAAATATCATCTGACAATAACTTTATAATCACAGATCTTTCAAGCAATGAGTTGTCTTTCCCAACAAAACATACACGCTATTACTTTTGAAAGCGAAATTTTTGACATTTTTTAACATGAAAAAATTCTGAATGTTGACATTACCTTCACAAGTTTTCATGTCACTTGTCATTCTGTATCCATCCTTGCATTTACAATCATAGGAGCCAGGACTGTTCTCACATATCTGATTGCAACCACCATTGTTGTCGTCGCACTCATTTATGTCTGTCATAAAAGCAAGTGGGAAAGCAATGAGATACTTCAAAAACAATCTATGCAATTTTTATGCAATTATCTTAATGGAATATTAGAAAGTGAATGCATAATCTAATATTGTTACCTTCACAAGTCTTCATATCTGCTGTCATTTTGTATCCCGCTTTACATTCGCATCTGTAGGATCCAGGTTCATTCTCACATATTTGGTTACAGCCACCGTTGTTGTCAAGACATTCATCCACATCTGAATTATTAATAGTACTAAATAATACTTAACCATATAAAACTTCATTTCTTAACATAGTTGAAAAGAAAACTGTATATATTATAATTTATGACAATATTCACTCTATATTCTTTTGAGATTATGATTCACAAAAGATATGTTATAGTTAATTGTTTTCATCGCTCTCTCTGTATATATAAATCTTCTAATTTTCAATTAACTTCATATTTATCTTTGCTAAACAAAAAGCTGTTTCAAGTATTACCTTCACATGTCTTCATATCTGGTTTCATTTTGTATCCTTTTGTACACTGGCATTCATATGAGCCAGCTTTGTTCACGCATATCTGATTACAACCACCATTGTCCTTTAGACATTCATCTATGTCTGAAATACATGTACCGCAATACAATTAATAAAATATCAGTAATCTATCTATCATGTAAAAGAATGCACAAAATGTGAAGAACAAAGAAAAAAGAATAAAAAAAATATTTAAAGTTCATGACATTAAAAATCTACTACGTACATGATGTTGTAAAAATATGCTAAATATGATAAAAAGAGTGTTCTGTTAGATGAATAACCCCAAAAATCTGCTTCTTGTCCTCTTCTACTCCAATGATTAAAATCTGTTATATTAAAAAAATAATTTCTCATAAACTTTTGCCATACCTTTGCATCCTTTGCCATCATCTTCCAACATGAAGCCAGATTTACAAGTACAGTAGTATGAACCATCTTCATTGGTACAATTGTGTGCACAACCTCCATTGTCAACTGCACACTCATCAATATCTGAAAAAGAACAGGAATGTCATTAAATAACAAATCATATCATATCATCAGTGTTTACAGTGTGTGCAGTAAAATGTTTGGGAAAAAAAGGAATAATTTTAATTATATGCTTTTGGGGGAACAAAAATAGAAACAATCTTCATACATAAAATACATACATTTACAGGATATTTTGTTACACAAGTAAGGTCATAAATAAATCAAATTATTTTACTTAATTAAATTGTCGTTGTTCAAATTAAGTATAATAAAATTAGAACAACATTAACAACATAGCGCGAGCCAGTTACTTATAGTAACTTATAGTAACTGGCTCGCGCTGCCAGTAATTACGCCATGTGAACGAAGCCTAAAGGAAACATTCTATGAACAAAAACTGTAAAATACTTCACATTCAAGTCTGTTTTGCTGATAGGTCTGCACTATCTGAGTGCTTTTCTAGTTTGGGACAACGAAAAAGGTGTTACATAAACTGAATGTTACCTTTTTCACAGTTATCTCCTTCGTAACCTGATGCACAGGTACAGGTGTAGGAATTCACACCATCAATGCATGTCCCTTCATTTTCACACGGTCCTCCTGCGCAGTCATTGACATCTGGCACAAATAAAAAGCATAACATTAGACTTAATTCTACAGATTTTCTTTCACTATGTTTAAATATGAAGAAGAAATACTTACCACAGGCATATCAAAATATGAATCAATTCACTTTAAATATGAGATAATAAACATCCACCACTTAAAATGTGCTTCCTGGAAATCCTTTTTATTCTTAAATAAACTGTTTACAATATATGGCTTATTACAGACATGAAAGGGAAATAAGGTAAAGCAGAATTAAAGCAATCACCTGGACATTAACAAACTTGATTAATTGGGTACACATAAGATGTTATTTTCCTAGCCATTCCTTAAAACCTTATTCAATTAAAAAAAAATAAAGGTTCAAATTTCATAAACAGTACCATGAAGATGAAAGTGTAATACATTATATAAGTTAAATATCACACTCACAATCTGAAAATCATACTTACTTGTTCCACAGTATTCTCCAATAAACCCAAGGACACAGGCACATTTGAAACCCAACACTTTATCTATGCAAGTACCTCCATTCTTGCAGATGACACCAATACAATCATCATCATCTAAAGACACAAAGAAAAATATATTTTATCTTAATATGCCTTAATATACTTACAAATAAGTTACAACAGTTCACAAGTCTTATTTTTATTAAATTATTCAATGTGTCTATAACCTTCAGAATACATATAATAAAACCTTGAAAAACAAACAAAAAAATGAAGTAATTTTCAACAGATCTGGAGTGAATTTACAATTTGATGCACAGAAAATGAAAGAAAAATTACTACAGTCATGTATTTGCATGACCAAACTTATCTTACTTTCACACATTTTGCCATCAGCCATGAGAGTGAATCCAGGAATACATGAACAATAGTATCCTCCGTCTTCATTGTTACAGTTCTGTTCACAGTCACCATTATTTGTATCACACTCGTTGATATCTAAGGGATGACAAATTCAATTTCAAAGATAATAAAAAATACTGAAAATGTTATTAATCAATGGAACATCTTTTTCAACAGAGCACACAAAATTACTTTCAAAGAATTCTTCTGACTTTCTTTGCATGTACCATATCAAAAAAAGAAATGTTGACATTACCTTCACAAGTTTTCATGTCATTTGTCATTCTGTATCCGTCCTTGCATTTACAATCATAGGAGCCAACACTGTTCTCACATATCTGATTACAACCACCATTGTTGTCATCACACTCATTTATGTCTAAAAAAAAGAATAGTATCTATGCAACAATTGACAACAAATGAAATCATGCCACTAATATTTTTAAATGTAAGTTTTCACACAAATATATTTCACCTTAAATCTAAATGCATTACAAAATATAAGAATAGAGAAAAAAGGCTTTCTTGAAATTGAATTATCGTAACTGAAGAAAATTGTTATTTCAAAATTTATAAATACTTAGCTACCTTCACAAGTCTTCATATCTGCTGTCATTTTATATCCTAATTTACACTGGCATTTGTAGGATCCAGGTTCATTCACACATATCTGGTTACAGCCTCCATTGTTATCAAGGCATTCATCCACATCTTTAATATCAAATACACAAAGAATCTATAGCACTTATAGCTGCCATTTTTGTTCACGTTTTTAAAATTATAGTGGTCACTATGTTCAAGGCACTCATTTACATCTAAATTATTAAGAGAAGTATGAGATGATATCCACATCATATCTAATTTCCAAAAAAGCTGACAAACTAAAATTTTTGACATAACAGATTCAATATCAATTTCTGAGATTAACATCCAACAAAGATTAGTATTAGTTCATGATTTACAACAAAGTAAACATTTTCTTATTGTTCAAACTGCATCTAATACTGATCCAATTATTAATATAGACGGTTGTACTTAATGGATTACCTTCACATGTCTTCATATCTGGTTTCATCTTGTAACCTGTCTTGCACTGGCATTCATATGAGCCAGCTTTGTTCACACATATCTGATTACAGCCACCATTGTTGTCAAGACATTCATCTTTGTCTGAAACATTGTTATTTTGAATAATCATAAAATAACCATATGAGCTAAGGTAAATATTTATACCAAATGATGGATAATGAACCCACCATCTGTAACTTTTTTTACTTTCAAAAATATCTGCAATATTTAGGACTCAGTTTCAAATAAATGTTGCATTACGTTGCCATACCTTTGCATCCTTTGCCATCATCTTCCAACATGAAGCCAGTATTACAAGTACAGTGGTATGAACCAATCTCATTGATACAATTGTGTGCACAGCCTCCATTGTCAACTGCACACTCATCAATATCTGAAGTCAAAAAGGGATCAAGTAAAAAACATATATCATCAATTTTACAGGAAGAGCATGTTTGGTAATCAAAAACAGAAACACTACCTATATAATTAATATTAGCAAAAGTTTTTTTTTCATGACTAAGATCACAAATATACCACAATCTAATGACTTTAATTTAAAAAAAAAAGCAACAGAAATGAAGATTTATAAGTTTAAAAAAAGTTTTGTCTGCAGAAGAACTGAAAACCTAAACTGAACTTAAATTGACAAGTTGTTAGTTTTCAAAAACAAGTCAAGAAAAGAAGGCACTTCTTGTTGAAACAATCTGATGACAAGTAACACTTTTTGATCATATTTTATCAGACATATGCAATGAATTAATATCACAAAGGATAATGAATTTTACCACCTCTTGACAAACTTAATTGCTTATGAAACAATTTTACACAGTTTAAAATCATGCCTGTTAAATTTTTCTCTACAATCTCCTGCAAACTTCTCATTATGTCAAATGCAAATTCAAAACCTTTGAATTTCATCAATTCATCGATTCATATCTGTTCATTTTTTAGTCAAGAAATGGACTCTATGAACTCTACAAACTGACTGTTACCTTTTTCACAGTCATCTCCTTTAAATCCTGATGCACAGGTACAGGTGTAGGAATTCACACCATCATTGCATGTCCCTTCATTTTGACATGGTTTTCCTGCACAGTCATCAATGTCTATAAAAAAATTATACACAGTTGTAGCATTTAACAAACAAATAAGTGTACATGGGTAAATATATCTTGGTTACTTGATAGTAATTTATTTAATCCTACCAAAGTAAATTAAAAATGACTGCAATGGTTCAAATCACCATAGGCTGTTCTTATAAAATGAGAACACAAAAAAAAATATTAGCCTCAGAAACTTAAAATAGCACTTACCTGTTTCACAGTGTTTGCCAGTAAATCCAAGGACACAATGACATTGGTAACCCAACACTTTGTCCTCACATGTGCCTCCATTTAGACATGTGACACCAAGACAATCATCAACATCTGAAGCAGACATTAAATACATATGCATATACAGTCTACCTTAATAAACTTATTATTTATTATAATGATAAATTTCAATAAATTATCAACTTGTACATAAATTCCTGAATACATACAGTTAAACAGCAACCACTGAAAATGTAAAAAAAAACTTGGATTGTCAATAGAACTGGAGTTTATTTAGAAGGTGATGCACTAACAATGAAATGTCACCTGTTTCACCATGCATCTGTACCACCAAACTTCACTTACTTTCACACATTTTGCCATCAGCCATGAGAGTGAATCCAGGAATACATGAACAATAGTATCCTCCATCTTCATTATTACATTCCTGTTCACAGCCACCATTATTTGTATCACACTCGTTGATATCTGAAAATATAAATATCATATGACAAGAACTTCAATTTCATAGATACTAAAAACACCAGAGATGTTATCAATCAATGGAGTTTTCTCAACATTTCTCACATAATTATTTTCAAAACAGTTTTCTGACATTTTTATTCAAATAGATACAAAAATAGACATGTTGACATTACCTTCACAAGTTTTCATGTCACTTTTCATTCTGTATCCGTCCTTGCATTTACAATCATAGGAGCCAGGACTGTTCTCACATATCTGATTGCAACCACCATTGTTGTTGTCACACTCATTTATGTCTGAAATATGAAATATGAAAAATGGAATCAAAGCAAATAATGACACGGAATAATATCATATCAGTAACATTTTAAAATATTTAATGGCACACAAGCATACTCCACAATTTATATCTAGATACGATATCAAAAATAAATAGTGAATAAGTCTTTTTGTACATTGGGATTCAGTTACAAAGTTTCAAAATTTATTGTTACCTTCACAGGTCTTCATATCTGCTGTCATTCTGTATCCTGCTTCACATTGGCATTCATAGCTGCCGTCATTATTCAGGCACTTTTGATTACAGCCTCCATTCTGGTCAAGGCATTCATTCACATCTGAATTTTCAGAAGTTTTAAATGTTATCCACATAATATCTAAACACGTAACTGACAAGCTTGGTTTTTTGACATAAAACATCCAATTTGAACTTAAGGGGTTATAATCCAACAAAGATATATGATGATTCAATATCTATACCACAGTGTACACTTCATAGCTCCAGCTATTTAATACTAATCTTTTTATTTATATAGAAGGTTGCACTTAAGACATTACCTTCACATGTTCTCTGATCTGGTTTCATTTTGTATCCATCCTTGCACTGGCATTCATATGAGCCATTTTTGTTCACACATATCTGATTACAACCACCATTGTTGTCAAGACATTCATCTATGTCTGAAATGTCACAGTTCATTTATTAAATCAGTGGTCTACCTTTTTTAAGTACATCAAAGTTGGCACACAATGTATAAGTATAAAATTAAACAAATGTCAGATGCATTATCCCATGCCCAGAATATTCTTAAATAACAGTCATTCAAATACATATGTTATCTTTTATGAATTAGTTTCAAACAGAAGATTCATCATAAACCATTGCTGTACCTCTGCATCCTCTGCCATCATCTTCCAACATGTAGCCAGATTTACAAGTACAATGGTATGAACCTATATCATTGATACAATTGTGATCACAGCCTCCATTGTCAACTGCACACTCATCAATGTCTGAAATTAAAAGGCATAATGTAATGACCCTTTTTGTACATATGGAATGAATGTCCTAAACTTATATAATTTTAGTACACTTTATTCAAGCATTTTAATCAAACTTATAAGCCTGCAACAGATAAAAAAATCATGAAAAATAATTTTACTCCGTTTCAGAAAAAAATTTAATTGAATTTAACCAGTTTGTTTTTTAAAAAAAAGATAGAGGTACTTTCTAAAAGTTAAAAACAGCATCTATGAATAAAACAAATCTTAATTCAAAATCTAAGATTATTTATTTTGACTACCCAGGATGACTGTATATTTATCAACTTTGCTATCACTCTCCTTCTTCATGTTGACAACCTTTGTAGATGGCCAATTAATAAGCATCTAGCCCTGGATATTTCAATTGTTTCTAATTTCCTCACATAATTATTAACCTCATAGAGACCATATAGTGCTAACCTTGAAGCCTCCCCTGGCCCCAATTTATGTGCACAAATACATGTAACTTTGTTTGCAAACATAACATACAAAGATCAAACATTTTTAGAAAAACAATACTTCAGGCTAACTAAAGCTTACTTTAGAAATCTAAAATGATTTGAATTACTTAGAATTATGGACTCTTTAAATTTAAATTCTTATTTGACAGCCAGAGAGGAAAATCAAAATCTGGATGTTACAATACACAAATATATTTTTATTTCTTTATATTTCTGCTTGAAAATTCATTACAATTATGCAACACGAGTTATCTTAAAGTTTGCAGTCAGAAAAATTAATCTTGATCCTTGTTTTAGTTTTTAAGTTACCTGGAATTTATTGTAATATTTAGGTGATCAGAAGCTGCCATTTTGTCTCTAGTTTTTGAAACATGCATCTAAAAATTATGTCTTTGCATTCCTTTGAAACATTCCCTAAAGTAGCTCAAACAAGAGCCAACCAATGTATCTGAATGTACATCTTGGTCTTTTTCATGAAGTGATGTTCAAAATGGAACAAAACACCAACATTTCCAAAATACCCATGTATGCGGTTTTGGGCCTTTGGGGTAAGTGAGAAATGAACAGCACATGCATATATTTTGACAGTTTCTTTGGGGTAAAATGATGGAGCTACCCATGTATATATTAGATGGGCGCTTGCAAAATCTTTAAGTTATGTCAATTTATTTCATTTTTTTCACAGATTCTGCAACTAGAAAAAAGTAAAAACTTGGTCAATGAGAAGTTTTCTAAATGCTAGCAGCGCAGTATTAACAGCCATTACTACTGATAGCTTATTTTCTATTGGTCTGAATATATATGGATGGGAATATACCTTTTTCACAGTCATCTCCTTTAAATCCAGATGTACAGGTACAGGTGTATGAATTCACACCATCATTGCATGTCCCATCATTTTGACATGGTTTTACGGCACAATCATCGAAATCTGTAAAAGAGGTAATTATTTCTCAATCTTTCATCAAAACTTTTTAATTGAATATGCCTGGCAGTCAATGATGCAGTTAAAAGGAGAAATCATTAACCATATTAATTAACCTACTGCACACATAGCAATAGTAAGAAGTGTATTCAGCATTAGAAGGATTAAAATTTTTTACATTAATAACTCATCTCATACTTCCCTGTCTCCCAGAACATTTGTTATACTTACTCGTCTCACAGTGTATTCCAACAAATCCAAGGACACAGAGACAATGATATCCCATCACTTCATCCTTACATGACCCTCCATTATGGCATGTGACACCAGCACAGTCATCAATATCTAAAAATCAAGCAATTTTCCAAAAATATTGAATATATTCTTCTTTTCAATTTAGTAATTACTCAGAAAAGGGTTGATTGAGAATAAATTTGCAATAAATTTATTACAGTGTATGCAAATTAATTAAAAATCATGAAATCATCTATATTTCTTAGCCAGCACAAAGATTTAACTTATACACTTACAGTATTAAAACATCTAAATAGTTATTCTAAAAATCACAAACTTGTAGGGCCAACTTACTTTCGCACATTTTTCCATCAGCCATGAGTGTGAATCCAGGTTTACATGAACACCAATGTGAGCCATCTTCGTTATTACATATCTGTTGGCAGTCACCATTGTTCGTGTCGCACTCATTGATATCTGTGGAAGTTAAAATTACATTAGGCACATTTTTCTATTACTACATATTGAATATTACCAAATATTTTCTGTCATTATTTCTCATTCCTTTACAATGTTCTTTTGGTTCAAGGGGAAGATAGTAACAAAAAAAATTATGGAGTGATTGTGCCAAATTTGTCCAAAGATTTCTTTTATCGTTTTTGGCACAATTTGCTTGGTTTTTTTTTTTTTTTCTTTTTCTATGAGACTTTACTAATTTAATATAAAGCCGTGTGAAAAGACTTGTTTGGATATTTGGTTCTACCTTCACATGTCTTCATATCTGGTTTCATCTTGTAACCTGCCTTGCACTGGCATTCATAGGAACCAACTTTGTTCACACATATCTGATTACAGCCACCATTGTTGTCAAGACATTCATCTTTGTCTGAAAAATTCAAGAATAAAATTTCAGTTGGTGCTAACACATGTAGCAAAAAAGTATCCTCCAGGAAACTGGTAAGATTTACAATTCAGGCAAAGGAACATATTTTACAAACCACTGGTAGCAGAATCTTCTTACATAAAAAGCTATTTCACAGGTGCAAATGAAAAGAGTTACCTTTACAAGTTTTCATATCTGCTGTCATTTCATATCCTAATTTACACTCGCATCTGTAGGATCCAGGCTCATTCGCACATATCTGGTTACAGCCTCCATTGTTGTCAAGGCATTCATCCACATCTGCAATATGACATATATATTAAGAATCTTAAATCAAGTTTCTAAAGATTGTTTAATAGATCCCGCAGTACTTAAAAGTTTATCAAAAATCATTACACCGTATAGTTAGGTACTATCATTTTAGAGCACTTGTCATTTCTATAATACACATGACTATGGTAGACATCATTTTTGCAAAGATATAAAAACACTTACCTTTACAAGTCTTCATATCTGCTGTCATTTTATATCCTAATTTACACTCGCATCTGTAGGATCCAGGCTCATTCACACATATCTGGTTACAGCCTCCATTGTTGTCAAGGCATTCATCCACATCTAAAAAAAATAAGATATTCTAGGAAGTACTTCCCAAAGTGATATATCTATAACTCAAGTTCTAACTTACATAAACAGTGCTTGTAGTTTAATTGACGTAAGGTAACATTTTTGCATTTCACTACGACACAATTATCAGAAAGTTACAATTGAGCTGTGTTTAATACACACAACAGTCTTAATCAGTTTAACAGATATCACTTGCAGCCTTTCCTAAGGACCAAAGCAATGTTAAAATAAGTGTAAACGTAGACTGAAATAATTTTACAAGACATATTACAACCCTTGCTATTCACATTTCGTTTGTAACCATTGTTGCTAGGGCAAAATATAAAAACGCAATTAATTACCTTTGCAAGTCTTCATATCTGCTGTCATTTTATATCCTAATTTACACTCGCATCTGTAGGATCCAGGTTCATTCACACATATCTGGTTACAGCCTCCATTGTTGTCAAGGCATTCATCCACATCTAAAAAAATAAAGGAAATCAAATAGCGTTTTTACAGATCTGCTCACAGCCTCCATTATACCATCATCACATTCATTTATTACTGGAACTAAGGAAGTCTAAATGTAGAATATTCATGCCTAAATAAATTGGTTATAGTTGCTTTAAATTCTTAAACTAGGTCTTAAATTGTTTTAGAAGGACTTAGTTAACCACACATTTAATTATTGTACATAATAAGTGACAACAGGCAGCTTGCTTTTTCTTGCTGTCACAATAAAGGAATATATCATAAATCAGACAAATCTTATTTTCTGAGAGAAACTGGGACATTGCCTATTCCTTGTTGCTGAAATAACCAAACTGTCACCTCAAATAATTTATCAGCATGCCTGTATAGAAACAAGAGGCATGTGAAGATTTCTGGACATTCACCTGATTCAGAAGTAGCAGTAAGCCTTACGGAAATTTCCAGTAACTGGAAATGGCAGCAGCTAGGGGACTTGCTGATAATGAAGGAGAGTGTCCAGAAATTTCTCTATATCTCAGGCTGCTGGTGCCACACTTACCTTTGCAACTATGTCCATCCTCATCCAACATGTATCNTGCGCTGCCAGTAATTACGCCATGTGAACGAAGCCTAAAGGAAACATTCTATGAACAAAAAATGTAAAATACTTCACATTCAAGTCTGTTTTGCTGAAAGGTCTGCACTATCTGAGTGCTTTTCTAGTTTGGGACAACGAAAAAGGTGTTACATAAACTGAATGTTACCTTTTTCACAGTTATCTCCTTCGTAACCTGATGCACAGGTACAGGTGTAGGAATTCACACCATCAATGCATGTCCCTTCATTTTCACACGGTCCTCCTGCGCAGTCATTGACATCTGGCACAAATAAAAAGCATAACATTAGACTTAATTCTACAGATTTTCTTTCACTATGTTTAAATATGAAGAAGAAATACTTACCACAGGCATATCAAAATATGAATCAATTCACTTTAAATTGGAGATAAACATCCACCACTTAAAATGTGCTTCCTGGAAATCCTTTTTATTCTTAAATAAACTATTTACAATATATGCCTTATTACAGCCATGAAAGGGAAATAAGGTAAAGCAGAATTAAAGCAATCACCTGGACATTAACAAACTTGATTAATTGGGTACACATAAGATGTTATTTTCCTAGCCATTCCTTAAAACCTTATTCAATTAAAAAAAAATAAAGGTTCAAATTTCATAAACAGTACCATGAAGATGAAAGTGTAATACATTATATAAGTTAAATATCACACTCACAATCTGAAAATCATACTTACTTGTTCCACAGTATTCTCCAATAAAACCAAGGACACAGGCACATTTGAAACCCAACACTTTATCTATGCAAGTACCTCCATTCTTGCAGATGACACCAACACAATCATCATCATCTAAAGACACAAAGAAAAATATATTTTATCTTTATATGCCTTAATATACTTACAAATAAGTTACAACAGTTCACAAGTCTTATTTTTAATAAATTATTCAATGTGTCTATAACCTTCAGAATACATATAATAAAACCTTGAAAAACAAACAATTTTCAACAGATCTGGAGTGAATTTACAATTTTATGCACAGAAAATGAAAGAAAAATTACTACAGTCATGTATTTGCATGACCAAACTTATCTTACTTTCACACATTTTGCCATCAGCCATGAGAGTGAATCCAGCAATACATGAACAATAGTATCCTCCGTCTTCATTATTACAGTTCTGTTCACAGCCACCATCATTTGTATCACACTCGTTGATATCTAAGGGATGTCAAGAAATTCAATTTCAAAGATAATAAATAATACTGAACATGTTATTAATCAATGGAGCGTCTTTTTCAACAGAGCACACAAAATTACTTTCAAAGAATTTTTCTGACTTTCTTTGCATGTACCATATCAAAAATAGAAATGTTGACAATACCTTTACAAGTTTTCATGTCACTTGTCATTCTGTATCCGTCCTTGCATTTACAATCATAGGAGCCAACACTGTTCTCACATATCTGATTGCAACCACCATTGTTGTCATCACACTCATTTATGTCTAAAAAAAGAATAGTATCTATGCAACAATTGACAACAAATGAAATCATGCCACTAATATTTTTAAATGTAAGTTTTCACACAAATATATTTTACCTTAATGCATTACAAAATATAAGTATAGAGAAAAAAGGCTTTCTTGAAATTGAATTATCGTAACAGAAGAAAATTGTTATTTCAAAATTTATAAATACTTAGCTACCTTCACAAGTCTTCATATCTGCTGTCATTTTATATCCTAATTTACACTGGCATCTGTAGGATCCAGGTTCATTCACACATATCTGGTTACAGCCTCCATTGTTGTCAAGGCATTCATCCACATCTTTAATATCAAATACATAAAGAATCTATAGCACTTATAGCTGCCATTTTTGTTCAGGTTTTTTAAAATTATAGTGGTCATTATGTTCAAAGCATTCATTTACATCTAAATTATTAAGAGAAGTACGAGATGATATCCGCATCATATCTAATTTCCAAAAAAGCTGACAAGCTAAAATTTTTGACATAACGGATTCAATATCAATTTCTAAGATTAACATCCAACAAAGATTAGTATTAGTTCATGATTTACAACAAAGTAAACTGCATCTAATACTGATCCAATTATTAATATAGACGGTTGTACTTAATGGATTACCTTCACATGTCTTCATATCTGGTTTCATCTTGTAACCTGTCTTGCACTGGCATTCATATGAGCCAGCTTTGTTCACACATATCTGATTACAGCCACCATTGTTCTCAAGACATTCATCTTTGTCTGAAACATTGTTATTTTGAATAATCATAAAATAACCAGCTAAGGTAAATATTTATACCAAATGATGGATAATGAACCCACCATCTGTAACTTTTTTTACTCTCAAAAATATCTGCAATATTTAGGACTCAGTTTCAAATAAATGTTGCATTACGTTGCCATACCTTTGCATCCTTTGCCATCATCTTCCAACATGAAGCCAGTATTACAAGTACAGTGGTATGAACCAATCTCATTGATACAATTGTGTGCACAGCCTCCATTGTCAACTGCACACTCATCAATATCTGAAGTCAAAAAGGGATCAAGTAAAAAACATATATCATCAATTTTACAGGAAGAGCATGTTTGGTAATCAAAAACAGAAACACTATCTATACAATTAATATTAGCAAAAGTTTTTTTTTTCATGACTAAGATCACAAATATACCACAATCTAATGACTTTAATTTAAAAAAAACAGCAACAGAAATGAAGATTTATAAGTTTAAAAAAAGTTTTGTCTGCAGAAGAACTGAAAACCTAAACAGAACTTAAATTGACAAGAAAAGAAAGCACTTCTTGTTGAAACAATCTGATGACAAGTAACACTTTTTGATCATATTTTATCAGACATATGCAATGAATTAATATCACAAAGGATAATGAATTTTACCACCTCCTGACAAACTTAATTGCTTATTAAACAATTTTACACAGTTTAAAATCATGCCTGTTAAATTTTTCTCTACAATCTCCAATCTTCTCTTTATGTCAAATGTAAATTCAAAACCTTTGAATTTCATCAATTCACTGATTCATATCCGTTCATTTTTTAGAAATAGACTCCATGAACTATATAAACTGACTGTTACCTTTTTCACAGTCATCTCCTTTAAATCCTGATGCACAGGTACAGGTGTAGGAATTCACACCATCAATGCACGTTCCTCCATTTTGACATGGTTTTCCTGCACAGTCATCAATGTCTATAAAAAAATTATACACAGTTGTAGCATTTAACAAACAGATAAGTGTATATGAGTAAATATATCTTGGTAACTTGATAGTAATTTCTTTCATCCTACCATAGTTAAATTAAAAATGAAAGCAATGGTTAAAATCAACATGGGCATTTCTTTCAAAATGAGAATGCAAAAATAAAAAATAAATAAAAAAAAATAATAATAATAATAAAAAAACATAAGCCTAATGTCAGACTCAGAAACTTAAAATAGCACTTACCTGTTTCACAGTGTTTGCCAGTAAATCCAAGGACACAATGACATTGGTAACCCAACACTTTGTCCTCACAAGTGCCTCCATTATGACATGTGATGCCAAGACAATCATCATCATCTGAAGCAGACGTTAAATACATATGCATACACAGTCTTTCTTAATAAACTTATTATTTATTAAAATAATACCAATCAATAAATCATTAACTTGTACATAAATTCATGAATACATACAGTTAAACAGCAACCACTGAAAATGTAAAAAAAAAAAACCTTGGATCATCAACAGAACTGGAGTTTATTTATAAAGTGATGCACTAACAATGAAATGTCATCTGTTTCGTCATGCATCTGCACCACCAAACTTAACTTACTTTCACACTTTTTGCCGTCAGCCATGAGAGTGAATCCAGGAATACATGAACAATAGTATCCTCCATCTTCATTATTACAGTCTTGCTCACAGCCACCATTATTTGTATCACACTCGTTGATATCTGAAAATATAAATATCATATGACAAGAACTTCAATTTCATAGATATTAAAAACACCAGAGATGTTATCAATCAATGGAGTTTTCTCAACATTTCTCACATAATTATTTTCAAAACAGTTTTCTGACATTTTTATTCAAATAGTTACAAAAATAGAAATGTTGTCATTACCTTCACAAGTTTTCATGTCAATTGTCATTCTGTATCCGTCCTTGCATTTACAATCATAGGAGCCAGGACTGTTCTCACATATCTGATTGCAACCACCATTGTTGTCGTCACACTCATTTATGTCTGATATATGAAAAATGGAATCAAAGCAAATAATGAAACTGAATGATATCATACCAGTAACATTTTCAAATATTAACTGGCACGCAAGCATACTCCACAATTTAAATCTAAATACAATTTCAAAAATAAATAGAGAAGAAGTACTTTTGTTCATTAAAAAGTTTCAAAATTTATTGTTACCTTCACAAGTCCTCATATCTGCTGTCATTCTGTATCCTGCTTCACATTGGCATTCATAGCTGCCATCATTGTTCAGGCACTTTTGATTACAGCCTCCATTCTGGTCAAGGCATTCATTCACATCTGAATTTTCAGAAGTTTTAAATGTTATCCACATAATATCTAAACACTAACTGACAAACTTGGTTTTTTGACATAAAACATTCATTATGAACTTAAGGGGTTATAATCCAACAAAGATATATGATGATTCAATATCTATACCACAGTGTACATTTCATTGCTCCAACTATTTAATACTAATCTTATTATTTATATAGAAGGTTGAACTTAAGATATTACCTTCACATGTTTTCTGATCTGGTTTCATTTTGTATCCATCCTTGCACTGGCATTCATATGAGCCATTTTTGTTCACACATATCTGATTACAACCACCATTGTTGTCAAGACATTCATCTATGTCTGAAATGTCACAGTTCATTTATTAAATCAGTGGTCTACCTTTTTTAAGTACATCAAAGTTGGTACACAATGTATAAGTATAAAATTAAACAAATGTCAGATGCATTATCCCATGCCCAGAATATTCTTAAATAACAGTCATTCAAATACACGTTATCTTTTATGAATTAGTTTCAAACAGAAGATTCATCATAAACCATTGCTGTACCTCTGCATCCTCTGCCATCATCTTCCAACATGTAGCCAAGTTTACAAGTACAATGGTATGAACCTATATCATTGATACAATTGTGATCACAGCCTCCATTGTCAACTGCACACTCATCAATGTCTGAAATTAAAAGGCATAATGTAATGACCCTTTTTGTACATATGGAATGAATGTCCTAAACTTATATAATTTTAGTTCACTTTATTCAAGCATTTTAATCAATCTTATAAGCCTGCAACAGATAAAAAAATCATGAAAAATAATTTTACTCTGTTACAGGAAAAAATTTAATTGAATTCAACCAGTTTGTTTTTAAGAAAAAGACAGAGGTACTTTCTAAAAGTTAAAAACAGCATCTATGAATAAAACAAACCTTAATTCAAAATCTAAGATTATTTATTTTGACTACCCAGGATGACTGTATATTTATCAACTTTGCTATCACTCTCCTTCTTCATGTTGACAACCTTTGTAGATGGCCAATTAATAAGCATCTAGCCCTGGATATTTCACTTGTTTCTAATTTCCTCACATAATTATTAACCTCATAGAGACCATAAAGTGCTGACCTTGAAGCCTCCCCTGGGCCCAATTTATGTGCACAAATACATGTAACTTTGTTTGCAAACATAACATACAAAGATCAAACATTTTTAGAAAAACAATACTTCAGGCTAACTAAAGATTACTTTAGAAATCTAAAATGTTTTGAATTACTTAGAATTACGGACTCTTTAAATTTAAATTCTTATTTGACAGCCAGAGAGGAAAATCAAAAACTGGATGTTACAATACACAAATATATTTTTATTTCTTTATATTTCTGCTTGAAAATTCATTACAATTATGCAACACGAGTTATCTTAAAGTTTGTAGTCAGAAAAATTAATCTTGATCCTTGTTTTAGTTTTTAAGATACCTGGAATTTATTGTAATATTTAGGTGATCAGAAGCTACCATTTTGTCTCTAGTTTTTTGAAACATGCATCTAAAAATCATGTCTTTCCATTCCTCCATTTAAACATTCCCTAAAGTAGCTCAAACAAGAGCCAACCAATGTATCTGAATGTACATCTTGGTCTTTTTCATGAAGTGATGTTCAAAATGGAACAAAACACCAACATTTCCAAAATACCCATGTATGCGGTTTTGGGCCTTTGGGGTAAGTGAGAAATGAACAGCACATGCACATATTTTGACAGTATCTTTGGGGTAAAATGATGGAGCTACCCATGTATATATTAGATGGGCGCTTGCAAAATCTTTACGTTATGTAAATTTATTTCATTTTTTCACAGATTCTGCAACTAGAAAAAAGTAAAAACTTGGTCAATGAGAAGTTTTCTAAACACTAGCAGCGCAGTATTAACAGCCATTACTACTGATAGCTTATTTTCTATTGGTCTGAATATATATGGATGGGTATATACCTTTTTCACAGTCATCTCCTTTAAATCCAGATGTACAGGTACAGGTGTATGAATTCACACCATCATTGCATGTCCCATCATTTTGACATGGTTTTACGGCACAATCATCGAAATCTGTAAAAGAGGTAATTATTTCTCAATCTTTCATCAAAACTTTTTAATTGAATATGGCCTGGCAGTCAATGATGCAGTTAAAAGGAGAAATCATTAACCATATTAATTAACCTACTGCACACATAGAAATAGTAAAAATTATATTCAACATTAGAAGGATTGGATATTTTTACATTAATAACTCATCTCATACTTCCCTGTCTCCCAGAACTTTTGTTATACTTACTCGTCTCACAGTGTATTCCAACAAATCCAAGGACACAGAGACAATGATATCCCATCACTTCATCCTTACATGACCCTCCATTATGGCATGTGACACCAGCACAGTCATCAATATCTACAAATTAAACAATTTGTCAAAATATTGAATGTGTTTATTCTTCTTTTTAATTTAGTAATTACTCAGACAAGGGCAGACTAAGACTAAATTTACAATAAATTTATTATAGCGTATGCAAATTAATAAAAAACATGAAACCATCTATATTTCTTAGCCAGCACAAAGATTTAACTTATGCACTTACAGTATTAAAACATCTAAATAGTTATTCTAAAAATCACAAACTTGTAGGGCCAACTTACTTTCACACATTTTTCCATCAGCCATGAGTGTGAATCCAGGCTTACATGAACACCAATGTGAGCCATCTTCATTATTACATATCTGTTGGCAGTCACCATTGTTCGTGTCGCACTCATTGATATCTGTGGAAGTTAAAATTACATTAGGCACATTTTTCTATTACTACATATTGAATATGCCCATATTTTCTATGTCATTATTTCTCATTCCTTTACAATGTTCTTTTGGTTCAAGGGGAAGATAGTAACAAAAAAATTATGGAGTGATTGTGCCAAAGTTGTCCAAAGATTTCTTTTATCGTTTTTGGCACAATTTGCTGGGTTTTTTTTCTTTTTCTATGAGACTTTACTAATTTAATATAAAGCCGTGTGAAAAGACCTGTTTCAATATTTGGTTCTACCTTCACATGTCTTCATATCTGGTTTCATCTTGTAACCTGCCTTGCACTGGCATTCATATGAACCAACATTGTTCACACATATCTGATTACAGCCACCATTGTTGTCAAGACATTCATCTTTGTCTGAAAAATTCAAGAATAAAATTTCAGTTGGTGCTAACACATGTAGCAAAAAAGTATCCTCCAGGAAACATTACTGGTAAGATTTACAATTCAGGCATAGGAACATATTTTACAAACCACTGGTAGCAGAATCTTCTTACATAAAAAGCTATTTCGCAGGTGCAAATGAAAAGAGTTACCTTTACAAGTCTTCATATCTGCTGTCATTTCATATCCTAATTTACACTCGCATCTGTAGGATCCAGGTTCATTCACACATATCTGGTTACAGCCCCCATTGTTGTCAAGGCATTCATCCACATCTGCAATATGACATATATATTAAGAATCTTAAATCAAGTTTCTAAAGACTGTTTAATAGATCCTGCAGTACTTAAAAGTTTATCAAAAATCATTACACCATATAGTTAGGTACTATCATTTTAGAGCACTGGTCATTTCTATAATTCACATGACTATGGTTGACATCATTTTGCAAAGATATAAAAACACTTACCTTTACAAGTCTTCATATCTGCTGTCATTTTATATCCTAATTTACACTCGCATCTGTAGGATCCAGGTTCGTTCACACATATCTGGTTACAGCCTCCATTGTTGTCAAGGCATTCATCCACATCTAAAAAAATAAGAAGATATTCTAGGAAGTACTTCCCAAAGTGATATATCTATAACTCAAGTTCCAACTTACATAAACAGTGCTTGTAGTTTGCTTGACGTAAGGTAACATTTCTGCATTTCACTACAACACAATTATCAGAAAGTTCGAGCTGTGTTTAATACACACAAGTCTTAATAAGTTTAACAGATATCACTTGCAGCCTTTCCTAAAGACCAAAGCAATGTTAAAATAAGTGTAAACGTAGACTGAAATAATTTTACAAGACATATATCAGACATATTATTACAACCCTTGCTATTCACATTTCGTTTGTAACCAATGTTGCTAGGGCAAAATATAAAAACACAATTAATTACCTTTGCAAGTCTTCATATCTGCTGTCATTTTATATCCTAATTTACACTCGCATCTGTAGGATCCAGGTTCATTCACACATATCTGGTTACAACCTCCATTGTTGTCAAGGCATTCATTCACATCTAAAAAAATAAAGGAAATCAAATAGCGTTTTTACAGATCTGCTCACAGCCTCCATTATACCATCATCACATTCATTTATTACTGGAACTAAGGAAGTCTAAATGTAGAATATTCATGCCTAAATAAATTGGTTATAGTTGCTTTAAATTCTTAAACTAGGTCTTAAATTGTTTTAGAAGGACTTAGTTAACCACACATTTAATTATTGTACATAATAAGTGACAACAGGCAGCTTGCTTTTTCTGGCTGTCACAATAAAGGAATATATCATAAATCAGACAAATCTTATTTTCTGAGAGAAACTGGGACATTGCCTATCCCTTGTTGCTGAAATAACCAAACTGTCACCTCAAATAATTTATCAGCATGCCTGTATAGAAACAAGAGGCATGTGAAGATTTCTGGACATTCACCTGATTCAGAAGTAGCAGTAAGCCTTACGGAAATTTCCAGTAACTGGAAATGGCAGCAGCTAGGGGACTTGCTGATAATGAAGGAGAGTGTCCAGAAATTCGATCTCTTTATCTCAGGCTGCTGGTGCCACACTTACCTTTGCAACTATGTCCATCCTCATCCAACATGTAGCCATCATGACACAGACAGTGGTATGACCCAACATCATTGACACAAATGTGTTCACAGTTTCCATCGTTTACTTCACATTCATTAATATCTGAAAATAATTTTAAAAATGAAATTAAATAAAAAAATAAGAAGAATACAACTTTTCAATAGATGGGTGATTATTTATTCATTTCTTTGTCCATGATATATGATGCATATAATGTACATCTTGCCACATGAGCATACTGTCATTTGATGAAATGCGAGGAATGTAGTTACAAGCAATGTAGGAATTTTAATTAAGTATTTCATACATTTAAAATGGGACTACAGATGTAATTCATGGCAAACATGATATTATAGTTAAACTATATAGCATAATGAAAAAAATGAATTCACTGTAAATGCAATATCTTAATAAATACAGTAATAACATGCACTTACCATCACATGAATATCCATCTTCATTGAGTTTAAAGCCCTTCCTGCATGCGCACACGAATGAGCCTGGCGTATTCACGCATATGTGTTTGCAGTTGTTTGACTGGTCTTCACACTCATTATTATCTGTTATAAAGGCAAAAATAATGGCATTACAGTTAATGACTAATTTTTGGCTGTTTACAATAAGAAATTCCTTTTATACTAAAAATTGTCCTCTTCACAATTAAACAATGACAAACCTATAGGTGGAAACCCACCAAAATGTATGAAGACTTTTTGCCAGTTAGATCTTAACAAGTGTGTACTTTGACAGAACTTGTACAAGTATATAGAATTTGTTCCATGTGGAAGCTGTAAAAGGTCACATAAAATAGTTTTTTCCCGTAACTAAAATGTGCTAACCTTGGCAAGTTTTTCCATCAGCCATAAGAGTGTATCCAGGTTTACAAGAGCAATGGTAACTTCCAGCGTCATTGTGACAGTAGTGATGACATCCTCCATTGTCAACAAGACACTCATTGATATCTAAAAAAAGCACAATGTGATGTCAATACAAGCAAAATCCTTGATTAATAAGCTTCAGAATATATTATCACAGGTTTTTTACAGACCCATGCCAAAATCATCGATGTTATCAGTCAGCTAGCAGATGTGTTCAGCAGCAACAATGAATATCCAATTTGAATTTACAATGGTGCTGTCTACAATATGCACTGCCATTTGTGTATTTTTTTCAAGTATTTTTTCGAGTCAATTTGACAAATATGCACAAATTGAGTCTGTTGTTGTTTTTGCCATGTGTGTCATTTTTATAAAGCCAGTAAAGCAGGAACAGAGTATAATGCTCTACAAACTACTGAGCATTGTGTTTGTTCTCTAAAAGCTAGTCAACCACCTGTGAACAAACAGAGGTGTCATACACATCTTGAGAATTGGCAAGTAGTGATCAAGCTGTTTAAAGCACATCACCCAGCTTCATTAATTAACATCTCCGGTGACACATTAATATAGAGAGGTAACATAACAATGGACAGGAAGCCTCATCATGTGCAGCTCAGGTAGCAATCAACTCACCTGGGAGTTGCTATTTCCCAAAGTTTTATCTAAAAACACTTCAAAAATCACCAGATGTTGCTTTTTTAATTTTATTATTTCCTTAACTTATCTTAATTTTAAAAAAAACTTTTTAATTGTAACTGATAACTGACTTTTTATTTTACATATATCGAATTGCTTTTGTCAAATTCTTGCTTTTCTTTAACTTGTAAAGTCTTTTGAACATATTTGATGCTAACTTATTATTATTATTATTATTATTATTATTATTATTATTATTATTATTATTATTATTATTATATTCATAACATTGAAATTTGGGCCTCAGCCATTTTGTTCTGTGCATACAATTTTTACAAGTACCACAGCACCCGTCTACAAGTAAGTTCTACAAAATTTCTGTTATTAACCAACCTTAAAAATTTCTCAACTTCGTTATTAAGATATATAGATAGTCCAGATTGGAATGCCATGACCAGCACAATATTTATCAATACTTCACCAATTAGCAATTTTCTCTAACTTGTTGCAGTTTATCTCTAAGTGCCTTACCTTGACATGATATTCCATCTTCTCCCAAAATGAATCCGTCACCACAAGAGCAGTAGTAGCTGGGTTCTGTATTCACACAGCCTTGTTCACAACCACCATTATTGTCTAAGCATTCATCAATGTCTAAGAAAAGAAAATACATATTTTGTGTTCAACAAAAAACAAGAAATTTGGTATTTCACCCTAATTTAGCCGAATTTCAAACAGTTATAACCACTCTGCCTCTGATTAAAAAGAACATTAAATCTTGCACTTACTTGCTTCACCTTTTGGAAACAAAATATTTTTCTCTCTTTTTTCAAAACTATCAAAAAATTCAACTTGGAATGTAGATCAGTCAAAACAAAAACTATCTACCCATTTTGTATTTTTTCTTACCTTTACATGTCTTGCCATCGTCCATCAATTTATACCCATCACGGCAAGTGCAATAGTGTCCACCGTATGTGTTCGTACAGAAGTGATCACAGCCTCCATTGTTGACAAGACATTCATTTACATCTAGACAGAAGAGAATAAAAATGTAAATATTTGATTATGCAGCAAAAAATTTCATTAACTGAAGGGCCAATCACTTCAATATGCCAACTCGTGTTGAATTTCTTTGACCAATACATTAAATTAATTTTAGCATAAAAAATCCACTTTAATTTCTGTCCTGCTTACTTTCAATTTCTCAGCCTTTTCATACTAAAATAGGTAAAAAGATATTTCTCATCTTTTCACTTTGATGAGCCATCTGCTATTTTTTCAACTGTTGAAAAACTATTCACCTTCACACTTTTTGCCATCATCCATGAGAGTGAATCCAAGAATGCATGAACAACTGTACCCGCCAATTTCATTATCACAGTTCTGATGGCAGCCACCATTGTTTGTTTCACATTCATTGATATCTGAAAAAATGGAACAGACCAGTAGAGACATATGGAAAGAGAGAACAAAAAGATTCCTAGAGAGAAAGAATAGAATGAGGCTCAGCTGAGAATGTATCTCCCTAGCCAGCTTTTGAAAATTCCAAACTAAAAAAATTCTCTTAATTAAAAAGAATAAGTATTTTTCTTCATTACTAAAAATGTCCTTTGAAGGGTTTGGTTGAAATAAACATCTTACCAGTGCATCCATGCTTGTCTGGTTTAAGCATGTATCCTTTAGAACACTTGCACTCATAAGTTCCTTGCTGGTTTATACAGATGTGTTCACAGCCACCGTTATTAGTTTTGCATTCATCAATATCTGTAATGAAAAACGTACAAATAAAATTGTGACACAATCTAGGCTGAACCTAGACAAGAAATGTTCTTTTAAGGTTTTTACATGACAGGCAAATTTCAACTGATCAACAAAATGTATAACATACAGTGTACTATAGATTTACAGGCCAAATGATAAGTTCCTTTGGCGGTTTATGAAGATTTCATTATTGACAGAAAGTTACACATATTTTAGAGCTTGAAAGCTGATATACCCACCATGACAGGAATGCAGGTCTTCTCCAAGCATATAGCCTCCAGAGCACTGACACTCATAGCTTCCTGGCAGATTAACACAGGTCTGAGCACAGCCACCATTTTGGTCTTCACACTCGTCATTATCTGACAGAACACAAATTGTCAAATGAAACAGAATTGCACCAATGACTGACCAATATTTGTGATTAATTTTCATTCTACATACTTTTCACTGTAAAATTTGAGTCAATTTACCTCAAAGAAAACATGCTGCTAATATCTACAACCTTGCACACAATTGCTCATGAAACAAAATATACAATAATACCATTCACACCTACCATGAAATGATATTATATAAATGGAAAAATTCTTACCATTTTGTTTTTTCTTAGATATAAACAAAGAGAATTACCTTCACACATTTTCCCATCATCCATCAGTGTGTATCCAGGTTTACATTCACAGGTGTATCCTCCATCTTCATTATTACATATATGTTGGCAACCACCGTTGTTTGTATCACATTCATTGATATCTGAAGATAGAAAAACATGTTTGTTGGTTTTATCTGACAAAACTAAAATCCAAGTTTTGCACACTTGTGACAAATTTGTTTAAAAATCACATTAAAAACAAGCATTTTATGAAGAGCCTTTCAAATTAAAAGTAATAAAAATAATAATAATAACAATAAAAGCAACAACAACAACTACAATAATAATAATAATAATGAAAACTGCCAAATAGAAAAACTTCTTGTCTCTTGTCAAAACTGTAGTGTCTGCCACTAATAGAAATAAATTGTTAAAATTCCATAAAATAATATTTTACTTACCATCACAAGACTTCTGGTCTTCGGCATTCAACATGTACCCATCTTTGCATGCACAAATGTGATTCCCCGGCTGGTTGATACAAATCTGCTCACAATCTCCATTGTTAACAGCACACTCATCCACATCTAGAAAAATGTCACCATATATAAGAAACTGACCACAAGCTATGATCCCATGACAGTTGGTGTACACATGTATTTGTACAGATATATGTATCTTTGTTGTTTAATAAGTTTATGTATGAGGTGCCATGTATATTTCTCACTGGATACCTGTATGTGTGCTAACTTATTGGATTCAAATTCAATTTTGTGTTATTTTACTTTCACCTAAATGATGGTTTCATATCTAGCTGCTAATTTAAATTTGATCAAGTGCATTTCCATCCTTTCTCTGTCTCTCTCTTTCTTCTACTTTAGTGTGTGTGTGTGTGTGTGTGTGTGTGTGTGCATGCGCCTGCGTGCATGCATGTGTGCGCCTTCCTGTGCTTACCAGTACAAGTCTTGCCATCATCATTGATGAGGTAACCCTCCTCACAGTCACAGCTGAAGCTACCTAGTGTGTTTGTGCAGATCTGATCACAGCCATCCAAGTTTTCATCACATTCATCAATATCTGGAGAGAAAACATTTCAATATAAGGAACACTGAAAATACACTGGCTTATCTTATAGCTATCTAAGTAAAATAATTATAAGGATCATAATCATTTGCACACATATAATAGCTAAATGAAAACAAAAGTATAAATTATATAAATCTTATAGTTTATATTTAATAAACTTCATATATCAAAGTTTTATAGGAGTATCATAAAATGCTGTGAGTACATTTAACAAAAGATAAATATTATGGCACAAGGACCTTAGAAATTCACTTTTTACAAATTGGCAATGTATAATATTTAACAAACAAATACATATACTCAAACTACCAGTATTATAATTCAATTAAACTTGCCATGTTTTGATAGTTTCTAAACATGTATACATTTAAGTAGTCAGATTAAGTTATACAATATTTTAAATACTAGCAAAAATGACAAGGAAGGTTACTGTGTACAAGTCATCTTACCTGAACAAGATTTCATGTCATCACCCATCCTGTAACCTTCCTCACATTCACAGTGGTATGTTCCTGGGGTGTTGATACATATCTGTGAACATCCACCATTGTTGTCTGCGCATTCATCATTGTCTAAAAAAGTACAAACATGGTCAAAGTTACTTCCACTGTCTTTGAACAGAATTATTTTAATGTAAATTTCAGCTACTTCAGGTATTCCATAATTCTGCAAAAGGACGACTTTCAAATTGATTTTTCAAATCAGTTCTAAAATGCCTATCAGCCACATAGATCTGTAAATCTTAAGTCCAATCTATTAGTATTTGGTATTAACAAAAGTGCCTAATGAATGAATGAAAACTTTGGCAAAACAATGTCCAGGGAATCAGATGTAGTGCTTCATTCCTGATTTCAAACCATGTATTTACATAAATTTACTAATGCTTTAGATATCAATCGTCTATCTGGATAATAAAATGCACATACTTCATTTTTTTATATTTTTCTCTCACTGTCCCAAGCCAACGTACTTCATTTTGTCACATCACTATAGAAGAAATGACAGTTTTCTTCTCTCTCTTTTTTTTCATATTTTTCTCTCACTGTCCCAAGCCTAACCCTATATGTACGTTGAAACTTACCATCACACTTATGCTTATCAGCATTCAGAGAGTAACCATGGTTACAGTGACAGAGGTAGCTTCCATCCAGGTTCTCACAAGTATGAGCACATCCGCCATTGTTCTCACTGCATTCATCATCATCTGGAGAAGAAATGCTGATGAATAGCTATATCACAGTTTGTCATATAATAATAAGAATAATAATACTTATAATAATAATGGTGGAAAAAGCTTAATTTCATAGGATTTCTGTTAACACATGTAGGTTAAATACCGAGATATAATTGTATACCTAGATTCATAATTTAAAAATACATTTTTTCTTTGTTCAAATATTGAAATAATGTGGCAAGAGAAAGTGACTTGAAATGTCACCAGAATGGTACCGCATGAAACTCTTTTTATTAGTATGACTATAAGCACCACACGAACCCATTTGGCCATATAATGAATTCCTACACTTGCTTGTTATAGAAAAAGATACATACTTGAAAATATAGGCTATAAACACTACTATACAAGCTTAAAATATGAAGTCCCTCTTACCCTGGCAAGTCTTTCCATCAAGCATTATGGTGTATCCTGGTTTACAAGAACAAGTGAATCCACCCACAGTGTTGTGGCAGTTTTGGGAGCAATCATGGAGGTTCTCAAAACACTCGTCAACATCTGGGGAACATAAAATTTTAATGTTAAAACATTGTTGTCACCTTTATTATATGATTATCACATATGATTCATTGGTAATATGTAGACAGAATTCTATTGAGCTCTATTTGGAATCCCCTCTCCTTCACTAAAAAAAGTCCACAAGAAATAATTGCTAATTCCATGATACACAAACAAATCAAGTAACAGAAAACATCTCTGCATAAACTGTAACTCATGGCATATTTACTCAATAGAAATTAAAAAGGTTATTAACTAACTGAATAGCTCGATTACTTGTGCATTAGATTTTAACTGAAATCAACAAATAATTCTCTTTGCAGATTGCATGTCCTGATTTTTTAACTTCCCAGGTCAAAGTTTCTCAATCAAAACTGGATGTCAGTATTCTAAATTGAAAAATTTAAAGTAAACTCATTAAAATTTGCAAGAGTGGAGACCAACTGAATTTTCCCAGAAAGCAGAGATAACACGAAGAAAATACTGTGGAATCCATAACAGCTAACCCAATTTTCATTTTAAATTTTCCTTACCATTACAATCCTTCCCATTGACAGCCAGTCTATACCCACTGTCACAGGTACAGTGGTAGGCACCATCGGTATTAACACAGTTCTGATTACAACCTCCATTAGCATCAGAACACTCATTAATATCTGGTGATAAAAAGAAGGTAAATGTATTAAAATGGTGACAAGCACCTTGCTTTAGATACTCAGAATTATAGGGTAAACTTAAAAAAGATTCTCGAAAATCTTCCATATTTTCAAACAATGTAGGTCTCATTTAAAACCATGACTATGAAAAAATTCCTGTACGACATTATCAATATATTTTATCCATCATTTTTTGAGACAATGACTATTATATAATTTGTCATTAAAATTGCACAAATCATACAAAGACCTGTAATAAGGTGTTTGAAATATTTTGCAAATTCAGGTTGATGTACCAAGTATTCTTACCATCCTCACAGTGGGCTCCCATCCATCCAGAAGCACACTGACAGTGGTAAGCAGCTATCTCATCAATACATTTACCGTCATTAGCACATGTGACTCCAACACAGTCATCAGTATCTGAAATGTAAGGAAAAATATTTACTTGATTTGAACATTTTATGGACTCAACTATTAAGGAAACCTAAAGCTTAATATTGGGGTGGGTGGGGGGGGATCGTGGCAATCATCACCATCAAGTATGGCCTGCATTTCATTTCCATTTCAATACAGGCAAGATAATGAAATCTAGTACCACTGGCTAAGTATCAATGAAAGCATGAACTTATTGGTTTTTACAGCATCTTTATGTAACTTAAACATTTTTTTTTATTCAGTTAAGTGTAATTTAGTAAATTAGTATTTATTTATCAACCATACTATTTGTTTTTTCATGAATTTGATAGCCTTATGGTGATTTTTCCTCCTTTTCTTTGTAATCAATTACAAGGAGAACAACAACAGCAACTACAACGATGTTAAGAACTTACTAGTTTCACAGTGAATACCCTCAAAGCCAAGGCTACAGTTGCAGGAGTAGGTGGCGACCTCATCTACACAGGCTCCATTCTGGCACAGGTTCTCCTCACAGTCATTGATGTCTGAAAGCACACGACATTTGTTAACACTTTATATCACAGCTTTAGTGAGCAAATTTTGTTGCTTTTTTCAATCTTAAATTGATATTAAAACCAGAGAATTAAGACATAATATTACATAATTATTGAAATCCCTTCATTGTTACTTAAAAGATGAAAACTACTACTTAATAATTTTCTTTTATGAGAGAAGGAATGCCCTGATTTATCCAGTTGCGTGGCATCAAATGGTAGTATTTATTTATCAGGACTAGATTTTTTTCTCGTTTAATTTTTTAACATTAATTTTTTCAAAACATTAAAATATAAGAATATACCAAACTTAATACAAAATAGGATTTCTTCCATTTTCTTTTTCAAATATCAGTCTGGGACATTAGCCACCAGTCCTATGCTGCCAACCAGTAAAAATTTTGTTTGGACCAGTAGATTTTTCAGAATGTGTGAATTTAGTGATCCAACTTGGCCATTAGATATTTTCAAAGTTTTCAAAAGAACTTTTGGTTAAATTTAATTTTTATCTGAAATGTTTCTGTTACAAGATGATTCTAAACAATTAATAAAATTTTTGGCAATTTACTGCAATTTTTATTTGGACCAGTAGGTTTTAGGAAAGTGATGGTCTGTATGGCCTGTAAGCTGAAAAGTTTATGACACAGGCTGAAATTTATGTTACATTATATTTATATTCTACAAATAATGCAAGTTTTAAGTTGTCAAAATAACATTTCATGTAATAGTATTCAGATAATAACTGAAGAAATTCTATTGCATGAAAAATTAAATTTTAACTTCCTACAGTCACCATCAACAAAAATGAAGATAAAACATACAAATGTAATCTTGAATATTGATATAAATGCTGAAATAATGAAACTAACTTGTTTCACAGTGTTTTCCAGTAAAGCCATGGATGCATTCACAAGTGTAGTCCTGAATTTTATCAACACAAGTTCCACTATTCAGACAAATAACCCCAACACAATCATCAATATCTGGAAAGAAAGAAAGGAAAATTATCGTGACTTTAATACACTACAACAATAAAAATGATTTTGAAAATATGTTTAACTTTAAATGTAAATAAGAGTATCAGGGAATTAAAAAAAATGATATTGCAATTTTACACCGAGATGCTCAATTCTGAACAAGTTTGGAGTACTAAGAATCTGACTAATATGTTTCCATTTTCTTATCAAATTTAACAAGACATGCTGAATCATTCTAACTGAAATACAAAATTATAAACAGCCCCTTTGTGTATCAGTCCTGATTTAATTTTCCATTCAATTATTAACTACGGAAAAAATTAAGAATTTTTCTTTTTCTCCAGCACTTACAAATCACATAACAAATTCTATTAACTATTGTAAGGCTTACACATCAATCAATATTCACTCAAATACAATTCGCTACATATGAATTGCCCATAAATACAAGCAAGCAATTGAACCATGTTAACATGGTACGTAAACATGAGATCAAATAATTCCATACTTATTTCACAGTGCTCCCCTGTGAATCCTGGAGCCGTGGTACAATTACAGTCATAATCGTTGATCTTGTTCACACATGTGCCACCATTCTCACACTTTGGCAGTGGTTCCTCTTCACATTCATTGATTTCTAGAAAAAAAGAAGGAAAATGCAATAATACAAATGACCAACAAACTCTGCTTTGGTTGTATCAAAGTGTGGTTAGTTTGATTTATTCATCAACTGCTCTCTACAAAACTATTAATAATGCAATTAAAAGTCCCTGAAAATAATAATTATGTATCAAAATCAGAAATTCATTTTTAAAAAATGTCCATTATACTTTACAAAATATCAAAGTATAAGAAATGAGAGCTAAGATCTAGCCCATAAGGTCTTGCTGGAAAGTATGTTTAGAAATGAGCATGCTATTCCATCTTTTTCAAGTGTAAAACACTGGAAGTGATATAAACTCCAAATGTCCTAACATAATTACTTCCTTGGTTCAGAAAGTATAAATTGTTCCCACTGTTCCGCAAAGATAAAAAAGTTATGCTTTTACTGATTATTTTATGAAAAACAGCTTTGAAACGATTTCGTGGGATACCTTAAAGAAGAATTTTACTACAGACAGCATATTATATATCTATCAATTAAAAGTTAATTTATCATGATATTTTATTATCATAAAATAAGTTTCTCCTTATCAATTTGAAAGAAGGAAAATTTGAGTTTTCTCAAAATATGTGGAATTCTGATCAGTCAATAAGGGAATCACCAATAATAGATATATTTAAAAATTACCATCACAGTGTTCTCCATCAGCATTGAGTCTGTAGCCATCGAAACAGTCACATTTATAGTATCCTTCAGTATTGTTACAGATTTGTTCACATACAGCAGGTTCCCATGTGCACTCATCCACGTCTGATAAAATAAAATTAGATAAAATTCCACTAAAACAGAACTTTTAATTCTCATTTCTATTCAATAACTCTGCGTGTTTTATGTTTTACAAATAAGACAAAAAAGGAAGATCTACAATGTAAAAACTGAAATAATATTGAACTGACCGTTCTATAATACCATTTTATATTGGCAGAAATTAAAAAACCTTGCAAGAGGTAGTGTCATCCATAACACAACAAAATCCATTAAGTAAGTAACAAAATCTGTACCTTCACAGCCATGACTGTCATGTCCAAGTGAATAGCCATCGTCACAGCTACACACATATCCTCCATATGTATCCTGACAGGTGTGTGCACAGCCTCCATTATCAATGAGGCACTCATCATTGTCTGGAGGGAAAAGAGCAAAACTTCGCTGAATTAAATGTCATCTGTATGTTCCAGGGCTCTAAAGTTGAGTGGTCACTCCCCTATGCCATGCCCAAGCAATGGAAGCTAAAACTGGGTTCCCATAGATTTAGATCGATCTATCCGGATCCATGTATGTAGATTTATTTTTGAAGGACAAATCATATATGCCCTAGTTTTTTTTTAACAAAATGTTTCTCAATTCCTTTTTGCTCACATACAAATGGCTTGGGACAAGGCAATAGGATTCATAAAATATTTCAATATGGATGTATTTCGGGGAAACAAACATCTGCTAAGTCAGATGGTTTAATGAAAGCTTAAATCACACCAATTCGACAAGTAACTGAGACAACACTTTAAACATTTGTAGACATAGTTAAATAAGAAGCTGACTTTTTATACAGGAATGTAGCTAGACAACACACATGTGCATGGCTAAAAAAATCAATGATATCCAATATTACACTGGAATATATGTATCACAGTCATTCTTTGCTAGTGGTGCACTGCAGGGGGGCCATAACAAGAATGTTATTTAAATTTAGATAGCCAACCAAATTCTCATGACATCGTTGTGTATGTTTCAATAACAAATCAAAGAAGCTGCATGAGCAAGGAGGATGCTGTTATAAAAGCAAAATAAGAGAAAAAGCAGAAAATATANCGGTTTAATTTAATTTTTATCTGAAATGTTTCTGTTACAAGATGATTCTAAACAATTAAAAAAATGTTTGGCAATTTACTGCAATTTTTTTTTGGACCAGTAGGTTTTAGGAAAGTGATGGTCTGTATGGCCTGTAAGCTGAAAAGTTTATGACACAGGCTGAAATTTATGTTACATTATATTTATATTCTACAAATAATGCAAGTTTTAAGTTAACTTTGTCAAAATAACATTTCATGTAATAGTATTCAGATAATAACTGAAGAAATTCTATTGCATGAAAAATTAAATTTTAACTTCCTACAGTCACCATCAACAAAAATGAAGATAAAACATACAAGTGTATTCTTGAATATTGATATAAATGCTGAAATAATGAAACTAACTTGTTTCACAGTGTTTTCCAGTAAAGCCATGGATGCATTCACAAGTGTAGTCCTGAATTTTATCAACACAAGTTCCACTATTCAGACAAATCACACCAAGACAATCATTAATATCTGGAAAGAAAGAAAGAAAAATTATCGTGACTTTAATACACTACAACAATAAAAATGATTTTGAAAATACACTTATAACTTTAAATGTAAATAAGAGTATCAGGGAATTTAAAAAATGATATTGCAATTTTACACCGAGATGCTCAATTCTGAACAAGTTTGGAGTACTAAGAATCTGACTAATATGTTTCCATTTTGTTATCAAATTTAACAAGACATGCTGAATCATTCTAACTGAAATACAAAATTATAAACAGCCCCTTTGTGTATCAGTCCTGTTTTAATTTTCCATTCAATTATTAACTACGGAAAAAATTAAGAATTTTTCTTTTTCTCCAGCACTTACAAATCACATAACAAATTCTATTAACTATTGTAAGGCTTACACATCAATCAATATTCACTCAAATACAATTCACTACATATGATTTGCCCATAAATACAAGCAAGCAATTGAACCATGTTAACATGGTATGTAAACATGAGATCAAATAATTCCATACTTATTTCACAGTGCTCCCCTGTGAATCCTGGAGCCGTGGTACAATTACAGTCATAATCGTTGATCTTGTTCACACATGTGCCACCATTCTCACACTTTGGCAGTGGTTCCTCTTCACATTCATTGATTTCTAGAAAAAAAGAAGGAAAATGCAATAATACAAATGACCAACAAACTCTGCTTTGGTTGTATCAAAGTGTGGTTAGTTTGACTTATTCATCAACTGCTCTCTACAAAACTATTAATAATGCAATTAAAAGTCCCTGAAAATAATAAATATGTATCAAAATCAGAAATTCATTTTTAAAAAATGTCCATTATACTTTACAAAATATCAAAGTATAAGAAATGAGAGCTAAGATCTAGCCCATAAGGTCTCTCTGGAAGGTATGTTTAGAAATGAGCATGCTATTCCATCTTTTTCAAGTGTAAAACACTGGAAGTGATATAAACTCCAAACGTCCTAACATAATTACTTCCTTGGTTCAGAAAGTACAAATTGTTCCCACTGTTCCGCAAATATAAAAAAGTTATGCTTTTACTGATTATTTTATGAAAAACAGCTTTGAAACGATTTCGTGGGATACCTTAAAGAAGAATTTTACTACAGACAGCATATTATATATCTATCAATTAAAAGTTAATTTATCATGATATTTTATTATCATAAAATAAGTTTCTCCTTATCAATTTGAAAGAAGGAAAATTTGAGTTTTCTCAAAATATGTGGAATTCTGATCAGTCAATAAGGAAATCATCAATAATAGATATAATAAAAAAGAATTACCATCACAGTGTTCTCCATCAGCATTGAGTCTGTAGCCATCGAAACAGTCACATTTATAGAATCCTTCAGTATTATTACAGATTTGTTCACATACAGCAGGTTCCCATGTGCACTCATCCACGTCTGAAAAAATAAAATTAGATAAAATTCCACTAAAACAGAACTTTTAATTCTCATTTCTATTCAATAACTCTGCATGTTTTATGTTTTACAAATAAGACAAAAAAGGAAGATCTACAATGTAAAAACTGAAATAATATTGAACTGACTGTTCTATAATACCATTTTATATTGGCAGAAATTAAAAAATCTTGCAAGAGGTAGTGTCATCCATAACACAACAAAATCCATTAAGTAAGTAACAAAATCTGTACCTTCACAGCCATGACTGTCATGTCCAAGTGAATAGCCATCGTCACAGCTACACACATATCCTCCATATGTATCCTGACAGGTGTGCGCACAGCCTCCATTATCAATGAGGCACTCATCATTGTCTGGAGGGAAAAGAGCAAAACTTCGCTGAATTAAATGTCATCTGTATGTTCCAGGGCTCTAAAGTTGAGTGGTCACTCCCCTATGCCATGCCCAAGCAATGGAAGCTAAAACTGGGTTCCCATAGATTTAGATCGATCTATCTGGATCCATGTATGTAGATTTATTTTTGAAGGACAAATCATATATGCCCTAGTTTTTTTTTTTAACAAAATGTTTCTCAATTCTTTTTTGCTCACATACAAATGGCTTGGGACAAGGCAATAGGATTCATAAAATATTTCAATATGGATGTATTTCGGGGAAACAAACATCTGCTAAGTCAGATGGTTTAATGAAAGCTTAAATCACACCAATTCGACAAGTAACTGAGACAACACTTTAAACATTTGTAGACATACTTAAATAAGAAGCTGACTTTTTATACAGGAATGTAGCTAGGCAACACACATGTGCATGGCTAAAAAAATCAATGATATCCAATATTACACTGGAATATATGTAATATGTATCATCTCATCAACTTACTGTTGCAGTTTTTCCCATCTGCATCCATAGTGAAGCCATCATGACAGCTACAGTAGTAGGCACCTTCTGTATTTTTGCATGTCTGGTTACAACCTCCATTGTCAGTAGCACACTCATCAATGTCTACAATTAAAATGAGCTTTGTTTACATGACCAAAAATCAATCTCTATCAGATTCTGTTTGAAGGTTCTCCACCTGTCCCTGATTGTAAGGAGTTTAATCATCAACAAAAAATTTATTAAGTGGCCCTGTATTTTACTAAGCTTTGAAATCCTTTAAAACACCCCTACAGGGCCCCTATGTATGTTTCATACTGCACATTTTTAGTAGTATTTGTATTATACTTAAATGTGTTACGTAATACAAAGATAGCTTCTTTTGAGGTACAGTAAATGTACATGCCCACCATTGCCACCAATATTCTGTTTTCTTGGAATGAGTGGGACTATGAGTGTGGTAGTCCGAGATCTGGAGGAGACAGATGTTACAGTTACCTTTACACATGTGTTCATCTTCCAGCAGCATGTAACCCTTGTGGCACTTGCACTGGTAGCTGCCCACAGAGTTCTCACAAGTATGGTCACAACCACCATTGAGTGTTGCACATTCGTTGATATCTGTTGAATAAATCGTTTTTTTATTTACAAATGAAGAGTCAAAAATGAGTTTCAACATATAATAGCAGATTCTTGTAAATCATTATACTGCTTAATTTTTAAAAAGTTGAAAAACAGTGCAAATGGAAAGCACACAATGTACAATATATCCGTAAATATGTAAGCACTGACCTATAATATCATCTTTAAAGCACAAATGCTGAATTGTCCATTAAAAATATATTATCACTCAAATAAAAAACTGCACAATTTATTCCATGAGATACTCGACTTCTGATTTAACAAAATCTTCAATTTCCTCTCAAAAGCAGATTACTGTTAGATGACAAACATACCATCACAATTTGCCCCATCAGATCTCAACACATAGCCTGTATTACAGGAGCACTCGAATGTGCCCACTTTGTTGGTGCACACCTGCTCACAGCCGCCATTGTTGTCTTTGCATTCATCAATATCTAACAAGAAAAGAAGGGAATATGTACATATATAAATATACAATACAAATCATGCTGAAGATGTTTTGGCTATTAGATTTACTTTCAACATAAAGATTCAATTGGACAGGGATTTTGATTTAGTTCAAAATTTCTATTTGGCTACAATCATCTTGCCCTTAAGCTAATTAAAAATATCCAGAAGTGAGCCCAGATAGTCATAAAGGCAGTTAAACTATAAATTACTCAGACTACTGTATTGATTGTCCTGTCAATCACAGCTAATCAAAAATCATAAAATTATCATTAGAAAAGGCAAACTTAAAAAATACAATCAACCTGTATAATGTGTGTCACTTATTTCTTTAATGAAGTCTTGAATTTCTTGGGACAGAGGAAATATAAAGGAGTTTCAAAAAAAAGGATGAAGTACACACCTTTGCATGTGGCATGGTCAGCCATGTCTAGGAAGTAGCCATCATCACAACTACAGGTACGGCTTCCAATTGTATTGGTACAGTGCTGGTTACAGCCACCATTGTCTGGTTGCAGACACTCATTAATATCTGGATAAATAAATAAATATCTTCTTTAATACCATAGTTGCAAAAGAGGATTAATTGTCAAATTTGTTTTAACCAATTCAAGAATATACCACAAAAAAGTTCTTAAAAGAAATAGTCCCACTGTGGATGATCAGGATACTGCAAAAAGGTGTAAGGATTCTGTACCTTAACATGCATTTTCCAAATCTTTTCACCAGTTACACAAGAAGATGAAAACAGGTTTGCAACACACACACACACACACACACACACACACACACACACACACACACACACACACACACACACACACACACACTTACCATCACAATCCTTCAGGTTAGTATTAAGTGTAAATCCATTATTACAAGCACAATTAAAGGTGCCAGGAACATTGATACAGATTTGAGCACAATCATCACTTGGTCCACCACATTCATCAATATCTGAAATATAAAAAGACACGAAATGAACTAAGGTAAGCTTACAATAAACAGAGGGATCAAACAATGTTAATATGTTTACATAACATAGACTTTTATTTCTACCTGGCATGTTAAGACACAATTTTATTTCCATGACAGTATGCTATTATCATTATTCATATAAAATAATGAAGTCCAAAGTTCAACCCTGTAGAATTTGTTTCAATGTACACAAGGCAGACATTTTCAGTAGTTCATACAAATTGGGAACAATTCTTGCATTACATATCAATGGCCAATGACTTTTAAAATCACTTTACAAAAACCAAAGCTGCAAAACTAGCATTTGTTTATATTGGTAGTTGTCTTTATGATATAGCAATAATCCCACATTATCTTTCTCTTCAGTAGGCCATTTCTTTATTCTACATTATTTCATATCTTTAATTCCCAAGGAAAAAAGAAAAATATAAGCATTTGTAACACTGTTTTCTTTTTAATACATAATTGGCATTAACATAAATTTTATAGAAAAAAGGTCCTACAGAAGGGAAATGGCTGTGAAACAGAGGGTTATAATTATTAATATTATACCCATAGACATAATAAGAAGTGTACTCTACCTGTGCAGTTAAATCCATCTCCTTTGTATCCTTCCCTACACTGACAGCCCTGTTTACCATTGAAGAGACCACAGTCAGCATTTTTGTCACAGGCAACAGGCGTGGAAACAATGTTCTCATCCCCTTGGCATTCGTACTTGATACTGCAGTCATCATTAATCCAGCTCTCACCAGCCTAAATGATCAGGTTTGTTGTTAACTTGGTTTATTTTTCCATATTTAAGTTTGTATTTTGAATCTTATAATTATCTTGTTTTGAGGAGTTTGTTTATTTACTTTTACATAATGAGGTTGTTGCTTTGCCGAGATGATAAAAAAGCCCTCACACTATTATTCTGCCATCATGCTACTAGTACATGTAAACCCAATAACAAATGGTGTTCTAATGGATGGCAAAGAATAACTGTGATGCCAAGCCCTTAAACAGATTGAGAAATCAAGCTGTTTCAAACAGCTCTAAACTTGATGTACCCAAAATCTTTTATATGATAATAAATCAGGTACTGTGACAGCAAATAAGAAAATGCACTGTTAGCTTATACCATAAGCGTTATTATCTTACTTGTGTTTCATTTTTTTTTTAAGCAAATCACTTACCTGTCTATAGTTCCCCATGTCATCTAAACAGCCACAATCTTTGACCAGTACACACTTGTTGCTACTCCAAAGATATCCATCATTACAGAAGCAGCCCTCAGTAGTGTTGGGATTGCAGTTGGAAGGAGGATTCCTATTTACACAGGTTGCTGGGCAACCAGGCCCCACAGCTTCATAGTGCTCATTCTCACCACAAGGGAGTTCTGTGAATCAAAGGCAAATTTTGAAAAGAATTGCCATTATATTTGCTTATTTTTTTATTCATTCATTGTCTATTATTTAGGCCTTTTTACATCAAGCAGTGTACTTAAGTGATGCAGTCTGTATGGATTCACTTAATTAAGTCTTTCCTATTTATAAAACCTTTTTAAAAAATTCTTTTCTTTCTTACCACAGTTCAACACAGTGCGCCATTCAGGTGACTGGTAGGGAAGTATCTGGGAACACATATCTGCAACTGTGCTGAGAATAACACAGGCAGTTGTCTTGGCTAAATCTGGACTTAGATTCAATACTGCACATACATCCATACGGCATGGTTCGAAGAAATTATTCAGACGCCCTGTGCTGATGCAATCACCAAACACACCATTGACATCATTGATAGCACCACAGTAGTCTAGGCTTTCAACCAGCGCCATTTCTTCTGACGTGCATATGGCCCCATCATTTACGTCACCATCCACACATCTGAAAATTTAAAATACTTGTCACCACAAAAGTTTGAGAGCTAGATAAAAAGTGCAGTAGGCCAGAGTTTAAATTTCACTCTTCTCTTATACTTAATTATACTAATGACAAGCTGAATTTTGTAAATATATCAACAACTGTCCTGATGTAGCAATTTTTTTCATAAAGAAAAAAAAAAACAACTTCAGTCATTTTGAAACAAAGCTGAAATATCTACACATTCATACTCACCCTGGAATATCTTGCACTTTAAAACTGTTTCCCACAATGACATCCCTGACATTTGGAGGGTAACCACTGACGTCAAATCCATTGCTTGTCACATAGTCGTTCGATGGATCAGCGTTACAATCTCCACAGATTCCTTTCAGATGGCCACTGTAATCACGTGACACTTCAACTCGGACTGCATCTCCTCCACTCACAGCCACCATGAACATTTCTGTCTTCAGCTGAATGGTCTTTCCTGGAGTGATGTCAATGTAACCTGGACTGCCATTGAGGAGGTATGGGAGAGAATTGATGATCACTCCATCCACCTGGAAAAAAATTTTCTTAACAAATTTTTCATGAAAAGTCTTAATGAAGAATCCATCCACCAGTGGAATTTTTTTTTTTTTAATTTCATGAGCCTAAATTACCACAAAATGAACAACTTCACATTTTAAAGATGAAAACTGTCACTTACCTGAACCTTGTCCCCTATGATTATGACATGACCATATACGTGAATCTCCACACTGTGGACCCAGGACACACCTGTGATATTATGGCGATGCTCATTTTGAACAAAGATATCAAAGTCTTTCAACCCGGCATTGGTGTTCTTTGTCAACCTGTACTTGCAAGTACCTTGGAAGTGAATCCAAGACCCATCATACGAGTAAAAATGAGGATCTCCCGCTACAAAGCAAGTGCAGGGTGTCTCATCTGTAATAGATAAAAAAAATTAAGACTAAGTTTATATCCTTCAACCAGAAGATAACCTGCAATAGATAAGTATCCCGTCCACGTAGAAAGAAGACAACTGCAAATGAATAATAATATATACTTACGTATCTCACAATTTCTTCCACTAAATCCATGAAGACAATCACACTGGTAATCAGCAACCATGTCTATGCAGGATCCACCATTCAAACATGGAGAGTTCACACAGTCGTCAATATCTAGGAAAAGAAACAATGTAGAACCAAAATGACACTAAAATTCAATAAAATGGAATTCACAAAATGGAATATATCAAAAATTATTGTGAATGTGGGCAAACTGGCACAGTACCAGTAGTTAACAAACTTCCAATGGCAAAAAAAAATCAACCTCCATAAAACACTTGATGGAATGGTGACAGCATGATCTAAATTAAAGAATGTATCTTAATCTTTTTAATTTAAAGTTAATAAAATATATGCAGCACTTGGTACATATTTATTGAATTTTTTATTCTTTTTACATCCATTCATTATACAGAAAAACTGATAAACCCTCAATGATAAGTTAAAAGCTTTAAGGTGATTTCTACCACATTTATCCTTCCACAACCAAAAAGTATTCATAGCAATTAATATGAAAAATTACTATAATGATTATTATTACTATTATCATTATCATCATTTCATTAGTTTGTATGGCTTAATAACAATAGAAAATAAGCAAACAAACTCACTTGTTTCACAAATTTCCCCAGTGAAACCATTGGCACATAAACAAGTAAAATCATTGACTTCATCAATGCACTTGCCATCATTTAGGCAAGGTTCATTTTCACAATCATCAATGTCTGAAACAGAAAAAAATATCATTGTAACACAGAAATTTGAAAAAACTGAATGATAATAGTTAAAGTAAATATGATTTTTTTTTCAAGACTGTACATAAAAATTTTATTTGACTGTCTTAAATTTTTATCAAAGGTATGCTTCCAATAATATTGTTAATATATAGTTTCCTAATATAGTCTCAATCTATAAATCATGAGAAATCATTTCTAGAAAAAGATGTGCACAGAATACAATAATAACCATTCAAAACTTCATCATTTCAAACATTAGACATTTTGCAAAATATATGTAAAAATTATGAATAGCATTATCAATTAAAAATAATTGTACAAAATCATTTTATTTCTTATAGATATTTAAAAAACATAAATGTTCATTAAAAATTTCTTAACAAATTTGATTAACACAAAAAAGGAACAGAACCACTCTTAAGGAAAGAAATAAAATAATATTTTGCCCAGTAATCCTGATAAACAGTCCAAAACCATATCTAAATACATGTATATTGTAAAACAATTCATGACTTACTTGTTTCACATACTCCTCCTGTGAATCCAAGGTGACAACTACAGGTACCAGTTTCCTTCAGACAGACACCATTATTTTGGCATACAACATCTTGGCAAAGATCAGGACCTGAAAGAAAATCACTCATGTGAAAGCTGCAGAATAAGCAAAAGGTTCAACAGAACATGAGAAAACAATGCATAACTTAAAATTCATTTTAAAAAACATTATCTTAGGAATCAACAAACAAACTAGTCTTACAAATTATTCAAAGAACACTTCATTCCATTATTTTTACTTAAAATGGCCAAAGCCAAATTTATTCACAAAAGTAGAATACACTCCTCATGAATAAAAAACTAATCTTAGTCAAATTTTTTATCGTATTCTTAATCAACTTACCTAAATATGTACAAGTGTTATCTGTGGTCATAACATAATCTATATCACAGTAACATTTCCGTATACCAAAGTTCACCTGACATGTTGAATGTTCAGGACATACCACAGTCATTGGGTAGATATTGTTCTGGTAACACGTATAACTCTCCATTGTTGCACAATCCACAGTCCATTGTTGAAGGAACTAAAGCATAAAACAAATGAAATGAATATATATATATATATATATATATATATATATATATATATATATATATATATAATATTTGATTTTTTAACTAGATCAAGATTTAAAGAGGGGCTAATGTCCCCAATTTAGGCGTTGTCCACCAGCTGGATCAAAATCAACTAATCAAAAGCTTGAAAGAATAGTTTTATTGGAACCTTTCACTGTTATGGTCATAGCCAAAATTCTAGAAAAGCTCCAGTCAAGGTAACTATAAGCAATAAAAAAACTTTTTTTCATAAATTTATTTTTGAGGTTGAAATATTTAAATGCTATCCTCACAAACCTTTCTGTAAGTTCCATCATATGGTCCTCCTCTGTTTTCAACACAATTAAAGTCACACATGCTCCCATGATCACATGTCAGCTGATGGTTGATGTCCACTTCTATTAACAAACCCACACCACAAGTACACCCCTCTGTGGGAGGTTTGGTGCAAACCTCGCCCGAAAGTTGAGAAGCACATGTTTCTGGGCACCCTGGGAGACTTGAGGAATAGGTCATCCCCCTGCAGTCCAATGCTGAAAATATGGTAATTCAAGTGTTGAACTTTTTTTTTTTTTTCAAATTCTGATCAATTTTTGAGTCCTCTAGTATCTACTGCCCTTAAACATTTGCACATTTTAAAATAGCCAAAATATTCTTGGTTGAAACAAGGAGTTATAACTCCTTGGTTGAAATATGATAAAATACTCATGTTTACAGCTAATGCACTTTTTAAAAATAAATGGTAATTTAACTATATTTAAAATATTTCAGTGAGAGTATAATATCAATATTAACCAGAAAATTAACTAAACACGCATTTATGAACTAAAAAATCAACATAAGGAGGCACAGTCAAATAGCAGCAAATGCAACATTGAGATATAATACTCAGTCAATAATGTGGTTTTGCTAGGTAAATTTAGACACACTTCAATCACATTTTGTATATATTTAATATCATGAACTTTACATAAACTTTATAAGATCCGTACATAATGCAAAAGTTACAGATAAGCCTGACATCAAAACATATGCCTACAATACCAAAGAAAAACACAGCACTTGGCATATGCCTTAAACTACTTACGACACAGTGCAGAACTTCTCCACTCGATGTCAACAGGCTCGCCAGCATATTTACAACCCTCCACCAAAGCCTCCAAGACTATGCAAGCAGCATGCTGAGCCCCATTGGGATCCTGAGCTAATCTCCTCAACACATCAGCTTCACAAGACTGGTAGTATTCGGCAAAGGCAATCCCGCTGTTCTGTCTACAGCTGTCAAAAAAGGAGCCTGGTTTGTTGATGAGGCCGCAGTAGCTGTCCTGTGCAGCAGCTGTTTTTTCAGCATCTGAATAAACTCCAGGTGGGTCAGGTACTGGTTGTCCACTGAAATGTAAATAAAAAATTATACATGTCATATTTCACCACATATGTAATACACTGCATATGTATAGCAGAGATTCTGAACTAAAAGTGATGAATGTCTCAGTATAGTCTTTCACCTCTAGGCTATGAAATAAATTTGCTAAGCATCTGGTTTACATTAAAAATGACAATAATTGTAAAAGCCCAACTCAAACATGTGAGAAACACTACATGTTTAACTCCCAAGTATCTTATTATGAAGTTATATGCATGCACAGTGCCTACTAAACAAACCAAAACACTTCACTTCTTATCATCAAAAGCAACAATTTACTCCTTAATCTTTATTAGTATTAAATTAGTAAAACACTTCTTTTTCACCTGGGATCAGACACACTCCATCCATCACAAAGAGTAGCATCTCGGAGGGCTTCATCCACAATACCAGATATATCAGTTGAATCTGGAAGCACATAGTCGTCAGCCACACCATTGCAGTTTCCACATACACCACACAATATTCCGCTCCCACTATAGCTGGCAGCTGGAATATCTATGCTAGTAAGTTCGGGATCAAATGAGACTGATATACCAGAGTCGGTGGAAACACGAAGACGCAAGTTCGGTTGAAGTTCAACTTTGATAGTCTTTCCAATACCAGCATTCAACACAACTGGCCATCCTTTGTAGGCTATATTGTCCACCTGTGAAAAAAAATAAAGGACAGTGATATTCATTTCCTCCAAAGCTTTTCCCTTCCCAATTCAGACCTGAAAGATGATAAAACTTCTTCAATAAAAGTTTATCTGATATCATTATCTTTTCTCAGCCTTCTCAGTGCAAGGTGATAGGCATGACATCTCACAACTTCATGCATGCAGAATACAAGGCCACAGTACAAAACACTACACCATTTAGTGCCATGGAGCGTGAACGAGGCCATGCAACTGAATGGTAAATGTCAGCATAGCAAAAATAAATTTCTAAATAAAATCAAATCCCAGAGCAGGGATGGGGCAAGCAATGATTCACTAGTAGAAAAAAATTTGTAAGTAGAACCTCCCCCCCCCCCACCCCCAGAAACATTTGTTTTGGCCAGAAAATTATTTTCAGATTACCTTTAGATCTTAAAAAATAAAAGAGTTCATTTACCATTTTAAGTGACAGGCACATTGATGAATAGGGCAGTGCAAACAAAAACGTCACTGCTTTTCTCATGAATATTAATGAGTTGTGGCAGTGATTGAAAGCCTGACAGTCATCTTATGAATCAGTGACAATTGTTTTAGGATTTCTCTTCAGTTTGTTAATCAACATACTTTCATCTTCACCAGTTTAATTACTTCATGGCAAGCCAGTGTCAGGGATTGTTTCCCTTGTAATAACTACAGTAGTTGTTTATTTTTGTTTTGTCATCTTCTCTATCGTTTTGCATTCAACCAATTTTTTGGGGTAACTATTCTACTGTGTAAATGGTGTATGTTTTAGCAGTGGTAGATACATTGTATCAATTTGTATTTCTCGTATTCTTTCACATTGTCTTCTTCAAATATACTGCTCATGTGTTTTCATACCCAGCTCCTTTAATTATCGTGTCACCAGTCTTAAGTTACTAAGACAATATTCAGGGAGTGAAAATCACGTTGGCAACGTACTATTTTTTAATATGGCATCTGAAAAAATTACAATCATGGCTAAACTGGCTAAACTTGCGTAAATTTTTATCTAAATAAGACCAGGGAATTATATCGGATTCCCTGATAAGACAGATCATACATTTTAACAGTGTGTTCATACTCAGAAATGCAACTATCTGTGTATTAAGTGTCAAGTCTCTAGGAAAAAAAACATGCGCAGACCCAGCCTAGCCATTGCTTAGTGGCCAAATCTTTGTAAAAGTAATTCGGACGCGTGTGGAAAAGCCCGGGAAATTTAAATGTGCATTCCGCCATTATCTTACCATGCACTTTCATCTGATAAAACTTCCTTTACTCTTTTCTGTGTTTAGGTAAATAAATCTCTGCACAGAAAATATAAGTTGTCTGCATCAAAATAAATCATCCCTCGCTCGTTATTCATCCTAAACCTGAAACACGTATGGTTGCTGCAGCTTTCGTTTTGCGCAAAGTTGAAAATGATAATTACTTGCAACCGATGTAAAGGTTGTGTTTAGTGACCGAAGATGTGCCCCATACTAAAATGTTCAATGTAGGTAACATCGACACCATAAAAACAATATTCGATAACTAACTGAACAAACAAATTTTCAAACTTATTCTTAATACAGACCCTTAGCTATGAAAATTTGTATCTTAGCCAGAATTTAAATTGAATTTTCCTTGAAAAAAGTATTGCTCCACAACAGATACATTTATTTGACGGGTTTAATCAAAATTATTCATTCATTCATTCATTCATTCATTCATTCACTCATTCATTCATTCATTTATTTATTCATTCATTTATTTATCATGAAGTGAGAAAGATAAGTAGCTTTGCAGGATATTTAGACGTAGAACATGTGCTGTATACTTTTATGAAAGTATGATGGGAATTGGAAAGAAAGAGTAGGGTAGTGTGGAACTGGAGTCAGTTAAATGCATATAAATTACGCAACGACAGGCTACATAAACAACTATTGCCGCAATCGAAAAAAACGAGTAGGCCTATTAGATGACCTAACCATAGGTCACCGGTGTGCGACCCCCGCCTCTGCTGCACTCTTTACGTTTTTATGACCGTGTGTAAAGTTCCACAAAAATAGACATATTGAAGCTTTTTTCGATTATAATCTTTCTCTAAACATTGGGAATTTCGCTATTTGAAAAAAAAGAACTTATGTTCCAACATTTCCAAATATTCAACCTAAGAAATTAATGGGAGGGTTAAATGAAGAGGTGGTTTCTGCCACTCTTTAACCTCCCACATGTGATGCAGATTATATTCTTTTCAAAATAATTGAATAAATCTGTTCTGCTGTTTATTTATACAACGTTTTATTTAAAATGATATAATAATTTAGAATAAAACATTCTAACGAACCTTTTACACCGTATTACAGGATCAGACGTTCAAACGAAATGTATAGCATTTACAGGGAACAAAGAGAACCAGTGTAGTAATATTAACTTTTTAATAAGACATCATGCAATTTGCTTCTTTTTTTTTTTTTTTTTTTTTTTTTTTGAAGACGTAAACTTGAATATTTTATCATTTCAAAATGGTATATTTTACTCACCAAACAGTAATCACTCCCAGTGTCCACATCTCGCAACAGGCGGACTACGTGGCCGTAAACCTGAAGCTCAACGAACGCGCCTCTCTTGGCCGAAATGGCGAAAGGTTCTACCCCGCCCGCGCCGTCGCATGTCTTTGCGAGGTAATACTCGCTGTCACCTTGGTAGTTCACCACATTCCCATCAAACTGCTTGTAATGCCCATCACCAATTGATTGACAGTGACATTCTAGAAAAAAATACACCGAAAGTTGACGCGTGAAATATAAGAATGCCATGGAACCTGTTGATTTCTGTTTATGTTTTCAGTGTAAATTAAATTTGACATATGCTGCAAAACAGATAAATGCAAGACTGAGAAAAATAAGAAATTATCTTTGATTGGATTATTGAACTTTTTTTCATTTTTGTCTGTAGTTAAGGCTTGTGACTTTTGCATTTATTAAAATTTTCTCTACAAAATTAAGCGACAAAACTTTTTCTTTGCTAATTATTATTTTCCTTAATGAGAAGGGAGGCAAAATAGAGCTCGTCAAATAAAAAAAAATACGATAACTTACCCTGGGCATTAATTTGCTTGTATTGAAACAAACACACCAACACTATAGCAAGGAATTTTGTCCCCATCTCTTTCTAGGTGGGACACCTGGTACAAGAAAAATGCATTCAATTTAACTCATAATCTAAATAAAAAAATCCCAATACTTTTAATATATGTACTGATACGATTTACAAAAAAAAAATTAAATAAAGAAAAAGAGGAAAGTTGCGAAAGATATTAAATTTGTTCATTTATCGTTTAAAAAAATCACATTTCTTGCCTCTCAGTCCCATTACCACCTACCTTGATCAACACTTCTTAACCTTGGTGGGGCACGCGATGCGTTTTATACCTCGGACACACCTCCAACCAATAAATCACCGTGTTTGTACCTACTTTACACATGCTGTATATATAATAGTTATCTTTTTGTGAAGTCTGAGGTAGACCCGACGCGCTGACATTGAAATGGAAATGACGGGGTGCAATCTCCTGTCATATGAATCACAAGTTTCCCAGGCTTAAATGATTTCAATTTCAAAAATTAGTGTCGAAGGATGACCCTATTCAAATTCCATTTCCTTAATGTTGAAAAGATGATGTGATTTAATGAGTTTCCCGTAGCTTGTGCTTAGTATTCCGAATATGAAAGTGAAAATGTAATTAATCAAACGTTACTATACGTCAGTAACCACGGTAGACATTTTATTGTAATTAGAATTTTATTCCAAAATTCGGTTAACGACGTCAATCCTTTTTTTCTTATTTTGATTTTAATGCATCAAAGAATAAATAACCATTGTTGAAAGGTGTTGTTGTTTAGTGAAATATTTATGCCTAATAAGTAACAAAAGAAACTATTAATATATTCTGTTTACATAAGTTATCATGTATTTTTCGCGTTTGATTTAATCGTTGCTCTTTGCACCGGTAACAAACAAAAGTCAAAGTTGGCGGTTCATTAAATTTAATTTGATTTAATAATTTCTGTTAATTATATTCTAATGAATAAAGAGATGGGATTCTGTCCTCGATGCAAATGTCAATTTCAAATTATTTAGCGTATATACAGTACCTACAACTCAAAAGAAGTTATGGAACATCTGCCATTTAAGATGGCAAAGTTTGAACCAGCCCTTCTATTATTAAATCTTAGAAATTCTGAGTGAAAGTAATCATTCTGTATTTTATGACATTTTTACTTTTACTGTGTTGCAAGTAAAATAAATTTTGCAATCTTGCAATCACCCATGTGAATTATCATTGTGAGACTCACAACGCAAGCGCTTTGACAGACAAATTCTATAGCCATGCTCCAAAGCCGCGGTTTGGCACTGGGGGTATCTTGTTATAAATGACCAATGCCTTTGTTTTAATTTTATTCTCTGCCTTCTTTTTCATATAGTTAATTATTAATGAAATGTGTTAATGACTAAAAAATTCAAAACCAGTTTATTATCTTTCCTGAAAAGTGGGGATTGTCTTGGGGGAATTGTCAAGGGTGGGGATTGTCTTAGAATTGCTGAAAAAATATACCCTTGGGCGCATCATTTGCCCCCCCCCCACTCTCCCCCCATACATTCTCTCTCTCTCTGTCTCTCTCTCGAGCTCATATCTAACAGGTCTGTAGCCAGAAAATTCAAAAGGGGGGTTCTTTTTTCTGAAAAAGTTGACCTTTTACAATGAAACTTATATGTACCTAGGCAAAATTTACCCAAAATGGACCTTTTCCTGACAAAAGGGGCGGTTCTTTCGAACCCCCAGAAACCCCCCTGGCTACGCGCCTGTCTAAGAAAAGTCTGCGAGATTGTCAATATGCACTCCTAAGGTGCAAAAATTACAATTAGCCATATGAATATATTTAAAACAAGCGTTTCCTCCAAAAGATCTAGCGAAAGGAGGTGCAAATGAATAAACAGTAAAGAAGAACCCTTCCACTTCATTCGCATTCAGCAAATAGAATATCACGTTTCGGTTCCAAAATTAAGAGATTAAATGTATTGAGCCTGTGACTCTGTCACATCTCTGTAACGTTTTTGCTACAGCATCATGTAATGGGCGTTACTATTCATACGGCGTAATTTACGTCGGGGTTAGTTTCTGTAGCTTTTACTTCCCATGCCAAAGTTTTTAAATTGTATTAGAGAGGCATTGTGCATTGGAAATACAACATAAAACTTAATAAGAAATGTTGCGTGACAACTAGAAATCTATTGTTACGAGATCACCTCCCTATTTGAAGATGAAAATAAAAATCACATTTCTTTGGGTTGTCTACAACGTGATATTCTGGGTACCTTTTAACAACATTCAACAGCAAATTGCCCCACCTCAAACTTATTATGCTTATGTTATTTCATCTTCTACATTTTCAAGTCGCTGGATTGTTAATTTGTCTCGCTTTGAGTTTTTTTGTTCATATACCATGACATAACGTTCATTACGTGTGCAGAAATTGGAAAATCACCATGCCCTATTCACAATCAAATATTTCAGTCTCATCGTTGTGATTGTATGCTGAATCATTTAGAATCGGAATCTGTGGTTCAAATACTATTTGGAAATGTACAATTAGACACGTTTTAAGAATTTTTATTTTTTTACTATCGTCAACTTCAAATGTTCATTCTTATTGACCGTGGTGTCTTCGCCTCTTACTACATGTATGTTGACCGCCGTTACTTTGCCGTAGATTGCCGTTTTTCCTAGTAACTTTTGTGAAAACCATGTTGAAACCGGCATTTTACATTTAACTTTGTATTTAGTCTTATTTGCACTTATTTGACCCTGTTTTCAGCACCATTTTCTGTAATTATAAATACGGTTAATCTACCTTTCCAGAATGCCTTTAGGTCAGTTTTGGGGGTTGGGCAATATGTAAACATGGATATTCATTAATGCAATATGTAAACATGGATATTCATGAAGATGATTTAGGAAAACACTCCTTTTTCATGAAAAAATAATAAATGTAATTAGTAATACAGATCCCACCTTCGACCATATTTATTTTCTGTTAACCAGTATAAAAATGAAAATTGCCACTTTTGCTTAAGGGTGTCCTCTTCAGATATTGGGGGTCTTATATTCATTATGAGTGTTTTTCTAAACTTGTCAACCGCAGTAAATAAAATATAAGTGACCATTCTATCAAAATTGAGTGGAGGCGAAGAGTTTCTCTGGTCCTTTAGAGCTTGAAGTATCATTGCATTCTAGTAAAGAACTTTGAATTTGACCAAATAATTGAATTATTATATGAAAAGGTACATCAAAAGGAAGAGGAAAACGTCCGTTGCCTTTCAAATAAAAATCATGGGCCGTTGCTTTAAATTTCATTTATAAGCCATTTTCTACATTGTTTGCCTATTTAAAGTGGAGGGGTATCTTCGCAAGGACCAGACATTTTTCATTTTAGTGAAACGGCACCCAGGGTTTTACACACGTTAATCTTAAGGACATTCCACAAGTGGTTAATTTGTGGTTAAGTCAATGTTGTCTCAATTAAGGTGTTGGTTGGCGTCTGAGTGCTGTCATATGCAAGTACTTGAATATTTTATTAATTGCACCGTGTGCATTTTGACCCCATACATGCCAAAAACCAGTTCTGAGGTTTTCACGGTATTTGTTTTTGTTTATCCCTTTTGTATATTTTGTTATCCCATGTCACCATGCTTTGCATATTAATATATTTTCATGTTGCGGTTTTGTCAATGTTACTTATTTGTTGTTGATTAGAGTTGTCAAATAAAGCCCACTACTTCCTTTCTTATAGAATATTGTTAGTCCAGGCTGCTTGTTGAAAATTATACAGTGTAAATAACTACTCACTACATCTTTTAAAATGAACTTATTGCCCATTAACAAGAAAGATATGGAACAGTCGCGACCAGGAATATCATTTAAGGAACTTCTTAGTATTGAAAAGTAGCTTAAAAGAACGTTTTTTTTTCTTTTAAACAAAACAGTAGGGTGATGATGCGTAACCTGTGATCCAGTTGAATTTGTATAATGGACAATGGCTTGAGGTAGACAGATACATAAAAATGGCCTAAATTGGTCAAAATAGCCTTTCCCGTTTCCTTTATGTAAAATGATTATCTAGATATTTGTGTAATAAAATTATACACGGCAACATTATACGTAACAATGAATTCCTACTCAACTTTGTAATTAAGGAAAAAGTCTAGTGGGATTTCCACAAAAGANGATTTTCAGGAAAATATGCATGGTTGACGACTAATGTGTGAACTTAATCTGGTGCCACCGGCCGTTTGGTTTTTACATTTCTTTCATTTAGGAGATACGAGAGTTATTAATAACGATGTTCCATTAGATAAAGTTATTATTTCGCCTCTTTTCTGATCAGAAGTAAGCCTTTCAACAAATTGTCCAGGCGCGGATTTGTAGTACTTATTATAGTGATCAAATAGGCGTTAAAATGTGCTGATAGCTGTTCAAATGAAGAAGATCTGTTGAAATCGATATTACAGTTTTTACCCACAAAACTATGTTGTTAAGTCATTAGCTCGAATGAGCAAATTCCGATGTAGCTTTGATGTGACAATATCATTTCATTTCAATCCTTTATGTAATAGAACAAGGAAAAATCCTAATGTATCGAACCCTCTTAACTTGTCCAATGGCTAACGCCCAAAGATGCACACGTCTGCACCCCATAAGCCGGTAACTGATAAAACATTTATATGCATACGCGCACGTGCATTTTGTGTCATATTTGCTTTATTGGTTCTGATCACTTTAAAGTTGTGTTGCTAGTCAGTGAAGCAAGTCAGATTTATGCAAAGTTTACACAAAAAATGAGCGTCACTAACGTGACCCAGAGATAAGACCCTTTACTGTTTTTTCCTTGGGTTTATTCAGTTTATGAAAAATAGGAACTGATTTAGACAATCGCATTTATATGCTCAGTGCGTCAAAACAAACCTACATTATAAAAAGAAAAATATGTTTGCGTATTTCCTGACAAGATGGATTGGTTAAAAGTAGAATAAATTTAAATCTGTAACTATACGTGGGAACTTTTTGTCCCTTGCTCGGCTGTTGTTTAACAACATATATTAATCTGCACTTCAAAGTTGTATTAG